GCCCTTTCTCTCCATCAGCCGCTCCTTTTCTCATCTTGCCTGAAGGCATGGGCTTCCTCTGGTGCGTTTCCTGGGGTCACCTCCCACTCTGCCCTCCACGTGGTAATTCCCCATTAGGGGGTCTCTGCTGCCCTCTGGTGGTCGTTGCCTATAACACTGAACTCACACTTCCGGAGCCCCAGAAACCTGAAATGGCTTTGCGGCCTCTCCTAGTCCTACAAGAGGTGGGTGCTCCAGGGAAACAGAACCAACTGAATATATGAGGAGATTTATTTTAAGGAACTGGCTCACGTGATGTGGGGCTGGCAAGTCCGAAATCCAAAGGGCAGGCTGGAAACTCAGGCAGGAGCTGAAGCTCCTGGAAACCTCACTTTTGCTCCTAGGATCTCCCAGTGGTGAAGGGGTGAAGCCCCGCGCCCCTCCCACCCCGCCATGTCACTGAGGGTCAGGTCCTTTACTTCAAGCCAACTGACTGCAAGGCCGACCGCATCCCCCAGTGCCTTCCCAGCAACCCACGCGTTCGTGTTGGATGAAACGGTGGGTCACTATGGCCCGGCTGAGATGACACAGGAGACTGACCATCGCAGTTCGCTAACTGAAAAGGTTGCATTTTAAAGTGAAATGTCACGTCTCCAATTAATGTTGGCCTGCTGATTCCCAACTCCAACTTTTTAAAAATCCCACATTTGGTAAGAAAAAGCCGATTCTGTTTTCTGAGTGTATGAGTGAATGAGTGTGAGGCTTGGAGGACAGGCCCAGAGCTGCCCCGCAGGTATTATTATTGTTGCTGTTGTGATGAGAATTACCTGCATGAAACGTCAATGAAGTTGGAAAGAGACAGAGGGGAGGAGGGAGGGAGAGAAATCATACGTAAGGGATAGAACGAGGCCCAGGGATGGAACTGAAGCTTTTCACCAAATGTGCAGGAAGCGAGGGACGCCAGGCGTAGCTCATAGCCACATCCCTCCGGTCTCCGCCCCTGCTGTCACGTGGCCATCTTCCCTGTGTGTCCGCTTCCTCTTTTTACAAGACCCCAGTCGTTGGACCAGAGCCTGTCCTGCTCCAGGATGGCTCTGCTCAGCTAATGACATCTGCAAAGACCCTATTTCCAAATAAGGTCACATTCTGAGGTCTTGGGTGGACGTGCATTTGCGGGGACACTATTCAGTGCGGTGCAGCCCCCGAGAGAGACGGAGCTGAGAGCGTGCAAGGGATCTGACCGGTGCCAGGACGGCCGCTCCGCACAGAGCAGGGACACAGGAGCCCCTTCCACAGCCTCATCCAGGGAAGACCTGCACAGTGACTGGCAGAGCCTCAGGGCACCGGTCAGGGCCACCGTGTGGGAATTCAGGGGAGGTGACATGCCCCAGACAGGAAGAAGCTGAGTTATGTGTATGCATCGCTCAGGGCCCACGGGGAGCACTGAGCTTGTGCAAAGGGACGTATGGAGTGATAAAGGGACCATGCAGCGATGTGGGGGGAGGGGGCAGGTAACCAGCACAGAACCAGCCACCCCAGAGCTGGCACCACCGTGGGCAGACAGGCCAGGAATTGCCCTGGGGGCTGCCCTGCCGTCTCTTTACTGATGCACCAGGGACTTATTTCTCCTAACAACAAGGCAAGGAAAGAGGGCCACGGTCCCATTTTACCGGGGAGAAGACTGCCGCCCAGAGAGGTCAGGTGATTTGCCTAAGGTCACACAGCAGGGCTGGGATTTGAACCTGTATTTAGCTGACTCTAAAGTCCTCGCTTTCAGGGTGTGGAGAAAAGGGAACCCTCCTACACTGCTGGTGAGAATGTAAGTTGGTGCAGCCACTATGAAGAACTACTAGTATGGAGGTTCCTTAAAAAACTGAAAATAGACCTACCGTAGGATCCAGCAATCCCACTCCTGGGCATATATCCAGAGAAAACTATAATTTGAAAAGATACATGCACCCCTGTGTTCATAGCAGCACTATTCACAATAGCCACGACACGGAAGCAACCTAAGTGTCCATCAACAGAGGAATGGATAAAGAAGATGTGGTGTATATATACATATATACACACTTACAGAATGGAATATTACTCAGCCATTAAAAAAATGAAATCATGCCCTTTGCAGCAACATGGATGGACGCAGAGATTATCAAACTAAGTGAAGTAAGTCAGACAGAGAAAAGACAAATACCATATGATATCACTTACACGGGGAATCTAAAAAAATGATACAAAGGAACTTATTTACAAAACAGAAACAGACTCACAGGCATAGAAAACAAACTTATGGTTACCAAAGGGGAAAGGAGGGGAGGGATAAATAAGGAGTATGGGATTAACAGACACACTCCTATCTATAAAAGAGATAACTAACAAGGACCTACTGTACAGCACAGGGAACTATATTCAATATCTTGTAGTAAATTATACCGGAAAAGAATCTGAAAAAGAGTGTCTGTGTGTTTGTGTGTGTGTATCACCATGCCGTACACCAGAGACGAATACAACATTGTAAATCAACTGTATTTCAATAAAAACAAATAATAAAGTCCTCGCTTTCATATACACTTAAAAACCAAACACACTCTTCCTTATAAAGACCTTCAGACATATACAAAGTGAACAGACGTGTGCAGCGGGTCCTCCGTGGCAAGTTACCAACATTCTGTTTTTCTACCTTCCCCTCTTCCCGCCCAGTCTCTTACTGCTGTGGCTGTTAGTCTCATATTTCTTTTCTTTAGGTAAAACATAGATGCACTGAATTGCACACATCTTACAATTAGCCAAATGTACCGTACTTCAGTTAGCGCACTTTTGTGTGTGCTGTTCTATTCTCTTCTTTTTGTGTTATCTTTGTTTTCTTGCTTTTCTAGCAATGAGTAGTGTTTATAATAAGGGGGGAAAGGCCAGTAAAATGATGATTAACACGTTTAAGATGTCCCTGTGGGCTGGTGCCCTGTCCCCTCGATTCAGCGACGAGCAGCAATTCACTGTGCTTTTTCGCAAACCCCTCCTGAGTAGCCAAGTCTCCTAGGAGCCCGGTAAGGCTGCATGGCCTTCTCGGAGGAGGAGCCCCAGCAATATGACCCACGAGCACAGCTGGGCGCAGGGCCAGCAGCCCTAAGTCCGGTCCCCGCACCTCCTGGGGAACCCCGGCGCTGCCAGGTCCACAAGAACCTCCATCTTCACCGGGAGAGTGGGAGCCTCTCGGCGACCCCACGTGGGCCAGCGCAAGGCTGGTTGAGGCCTCCTAATCCGCTAGGGGAGGGTGGCCCGGGGAGAGGTTGCCTTAGTGACCAGCGGAGGCTCCTCCCAGGGTGACTGCGGGTGGCCACGTCGCCTGGTAACCAGGTGGCAGCGTCCCTTGAGCCAGGACCACGCAGCTGCACCCAGCCCCGTGTGGCTTCTCCCAGGCCTGTGGGACCCCTGGGGCCCTGTCCGTATTCCCCAGGACCAGGACAGCTGCTGTCTCCAGCCACAATGAACATCGTTCTCTCCAGGTGAGCAGCCCCACGCTGGCCTGGGCTGGGAGGGAGGGGGTGGCCGGGTTTTCGGGGCCAGATGCACCAAGACAGATGGGGCCGCCTGGACTGCTGGGGGGGGCAGTGGTAAGGATGCTCTCCCGCCCACACCACGCCCACCTGGAGGTCTAGAGACCATGGAGGCTTCCAGAATCTGGCCTCTGTCTGCTTCTCCAGCATTTTTGCCCACAGCCCTGGGGTAGCTAAATTCACAGGGGCCACCCCAACTTCCCTCACTTATCTCTACCTGGGAAACCCCTCTTCGTACCTCAAAACCCCATCAGGCATCACCCCCTCTGTGAAATCGTCCCCGACCCCACTGCCTGCAGCCTGAATCTATCACTGCCTTCTCAACTTGCCCCTTATCCAGTTGTTTCCACGCCTGGCTCCTCTGGGGCTCACAAACTCGAGGGTGCCCCTGGACCACCTGATGGGCTTCTTTAAAAATGCAGCCCCCTGGACCTCGCTCACAGGGAGTCTGGCGGAGAGTGGGCTGGGATTCTGCAGGCTTAACTTGTGTCCCAGGCAATTCTGATTGAGGGGGTCCAAGGACCCCATGTGGAGGGACAGGGACTGTGGCCGGCTGTGTGACCTGGAGCAAGATGCTTCACCTCTCTGGTCTCCGTTTACCTTGTTTGCAGGGTAATACACACGATGCGCACTGCAAACTGTAAAGGGCTGCAGCAGTTAGGGTTTGTTAGGAGGACAAAGGGCCCTCCTCTCAGCTTCCAGCTTTAGAGATGTGATTAGAGGGGTGCACAGGTTGGGGGCTTTGGTCATACAGAGAGAGGATGGGGCAGTGACCACCTGGGTGGGACGAGGGGCAAGGAGAGGGTGCAGTGGTGCGAGAGGGAGGCGACTGTCTGAGGCTGTGCCCCCTTTACTGTCTCGGGAAGATGAAATCCAGCAGGTCCTTCACTCACTCCGTATATTTTCATGGAGCACCTGCGATGGGCAGAGGCCTCAGGCTAGCGGCACATAAACATGAGTCAGCAAGCTCCCCCCAAGCCCGACCCAGAAAGATGCAGAGGGTGACAGAAACCAAGCACAACAGGAAGTGATACATGGTGATAAATGGCATGCCAGGAGGACAAACTAAAGGTTCAGGGCTGGGGGAGGGAGGAGGGACCCACGGGCGGAGCATGGGGTCTCTAGGGCAGTGAGAGTTCTCTGCAACACTGTGAAGGTGGAGGCAGGGTACTGACAATGGCACTTGTCAAAATCCACGGAATGTAGGACAGCAAGAGGGAACCTTCATGTAAACGAGGGACTTTAGTTATTAAGAATGTGTCCCTGTTGGTTCACCTTTTGTAACAGAGGTCGTGCACTAAAGGGGAGCTGTTGATTACAGGGAAACCCTGAGCACCGGGGAGGGGGTATGTAGGAAGCCTGTGTACTTTCCACTCAGTTCTTCTGTAAACCTAAAACTGGTCCCCCCACCGCCCAAAAAAGTTTATTAATAAAGATTTACGATGTAGAGAAGAGAGAGAATTTCAACAGCTCGGGGAAAAGATAGAATCTGGGGATTGCAGAGAGAAGAGGTCGTTGCGGCTCAGCATGTTTGGAATACAGACCAACTCTGCTGGGAAGATAAAACCCCCGTAAGGGCCCCAGGGTGGGAAAGGCCAGGTTAGGAGCCAAGCCCATGTTTGCACTCCTGCCCGGCCACTGACCAGCCCTATGACCCCACTGGTCTCCCGCATCTGCCTTGACAGCCTGACCCAGGGACTTTGGGCATTATCCTGGGGACCGGACGCCTGGCCTGGGTTTGCCACCTAGGAGGAGGGCGGTGGGTGGGTGACCCCTGCTTCGCTGTCGTGGCCTGGCTGGGCGTCCGTGCCCAGAACGGCTCCTCAGATCCCCACCTCCCCAGGGACAGCAGGTGTGGGTGACGGAGGACACAGTGACCAACGCTGAGAAGTGCTTCGGCCAGTTCTACTCACTGCTGGCCACCTACACCCGCAAGACAGCCCGGCTGCGTGACAAGGCCGACCAACTGGTCAAGCAGCTCATCGACTTCACCAACACGGAGAACCCAGAGATGCGGGCCGTCCTGAGGAACTTTGCCGAGGACCTGGCCAAAGTGCAGGATTACCGGCAGGCCGAGGGGAGCGAGTGGCCCCAGCAGACCCAGTTCCCGGGGGGATCTGAGAGTTGGAGCCGGCCGGCAGGGTCCACAGGCAGCGGACACAACTCCCCCAAGGTGTCCCCAGAGTGAGGAAGCTCACATCACTCCCTCCCCAGGGTCACACCTCAGTTTACAGGACTGAGAGCCTGGAGGCTTGTGGAGGGCAAGGAGGCTGCAGGGAGTTAGGGAAAGAATTAAAAATCAAAATCCCCATGGGGCGTATATACAATGGAATATTACTCAGCCATAAAAAAGAAGGAAATAATGCCATTTGCAGCAACACGGACGGACCTAGAGATTATCATACTAAGTGAAGTAAGTCAGACAGATAAAGACAAATACCATATGATATCACTTCCACGTGGAATCTAAAACCTGACACAAATGAATTAGAAAACAAACAGACTCACAGACATAGAGAACAGACTTGTGGTTGCCAAGGGGGAGGGAGCATTGGAGACGGAAGGGTTAGGAGTTTGGGATAAAAAAAAAAAAACAGTAATAAAAACAAAATAAAACAAAACTCCAGCCAGCCCAGAAAAATCCACTCTGCGATGGTAGAAAAGAATGAAACAGCTTTTCTATTGAATAAGTGATGGCAAAGACAGAGAAACCTCACTCCCTCTGAGGACAGGGAAGGGGACAGCACCCTTTGTCACACAGGACTTCCTAATTCCACCTGGCGATTGGGTGGCCACCTGGGCTGGCTAATCAGCTTTATCCAAAGAAAACTAAAACCTCATCTCTCTCTGACAAGCAGGTAGGTACAGCTGGGAGCCGGGCAGCAGGCAAACTCCCTGGAGACACTGTCCTCCCCAAGTTTACAGTTCAGAGATGACTGGGCTTTCCTGGTTGTAAAACCAGCCAGAGGCTTCTTCAGCTTTTAAAGGCTCTATATCCATCTCAAAGGGACAGAGAAAGGATTTACAACTGCATGTTTTCTCAAAGGAATACTGCACGGAAAGGGAAGGGATAAGTCCCTTTCCCTTTCAGCACTTGGGAAAACTATTTCTTCTTTAGGTTTGCATTTACAAGAGCCATAAGCCATAATGGAGGAGGAAGGGGCTGGGTGGTGACTCCAGCTCCCCTGGCCCATCGGGCAAACCAGACTCTCAGGGGACCCCATCCTCCAGGCACCAGCCTCACCTGGGAACCTGTTAGAAAAATGCAGATTCTTGGGCTGCACCCTGGACCTGCTGAGTCAGAACCTCTGGGGTGGTGCCTGGGGATCAGGGTTTTAAGAAGCCCTCGGGGGGACTCCTACACCTGTTCTACCGTGACACCCACAGGGTAAGCGCTTAACCCACGCTAGCTTTAACTGTGACCATTGTTACCAGCACTGGTGTTGTTTATCCTTGTGTCTAGTTTGAGGCTTGGCACACAGGCACTGACTCGGGCGTGAGGTGTCCCCCTCGCTGACCCTGCCATGTCCCTGGATACTGCACAGCGCAGTCAGCTCTGAATTCCCCGCTAGTCCGTGTTCCAGGTGGCTCTGTCGGCATCCCTGGTGAGATCTAAGGCAGTCTGCAGAAATGAAATAGCACTGGGTCCCATCCAGTTGCTAAAAAACCGGGGGCGGGTACACTCCTTATACCAAGTGTACAGGCCAGGAAACAGGGCTCAGCAAGATGCAATGTGTCGCCCTTGCTCGCAACCCCATGGTGGGAGAAGGGCCCACCGTGCAGCTCCGGACATGCAGATGGCGCTCTGTAAATGCAGGCCAGTGGCCGTGCAGCCCCCCGGCATCTGCCTGGCTCCACCCGCTCTGACTGTGTTATGTCCGCGTGCCCCCAGGTCGAGAGGCTGGAGACCAAGGTGGTCAAGCCCCTGAAGCCCTACGGGGTGCAGATGAAGCAGACCCAGGTGAGCACGGCACTGCGGTGTGGGTCACGTGGGGGACTGGGGCCGCAGGAAAGCACCCTCCTCCTTCCATAGGCTGAGATCAAGAAATTCAAACACGTCCAGAACGAGGAGCTCAAACAACTGGAAAAGCTGGAGAGACTCAGGCAGAAGTCCCCTTCAGAGAGGCAGACCATCGTATCCTTCCCGAGGCAGGGGCTGGGGGCGCTGAGGCCGGGGCCGTACATCACCGTGCCCCCTCCATGGGGGCTGCTGGCTGACCTGAATCCCTAACGCCACCTGTTTCAGCCCCAGGCGAGCGTCACAAGTCTGTCTGGGGAAGGCAGGCTCGCACGCAGGTAATGAACGGCCTCACAAAACACCGAGGTGAGCTTTACTTGGGCGGGTGTGTGCAGGGCCCTGGGCTTAGGACAGGAGAGTCAGAGGCTCTGGGACAGCCAGCCATCAGCCGGGGCTCAGGAGACCTGGGTTCCGTCCCATCAGCGATGCTCCTCAGCGAGTGTCAGAGACACACTCCCCTCCACAGCCTGCTTCCTTGTCAGGGTCACCTACTTACTGCTCACAGGAGGTGGGTACTTCTAGGTGGGGAAACTGAGAAAAGTGACTTGCCCAAGGTCACACAGAGAGCTAAGGGGCAACCCCCGACTCAGCTCTGCAGGCATCAGGCTCTGAAATCCAGCTTCGTCACGTGCCAGGCCTGCTGTGGAGTCAGGCCATACAGATGCCAAACAAGGCAACCAGTAAGTTAATTAACCTAAAATCGTTCCACATGCGGGAATTAATTATCAGCGAACGTGGAGTACCTGTCATAGCAGTAGTTCAGCTGAGCCCACTCTCATGCTTGCAACAATCCTGCAAAGCAGGCCTTACAGCCGTCCCGTTTGCAGGCAAGCACGCTGAGGCTCAGAGGGGTTCAGTGACTTGCCTGAGGTCACACAGCTAACAAGAGGGTCTGTCCAAGCAGCAGCTGCCCCTTTCGCTGTGGTCCCACTCGGCCATTCCTTCCACAACCAAATTGGCAAGAGACTCCCACGACGCAGGACAGCTGGCCCAAGGGTGGGGTGAAGGGACAGAGAATGATCCAGAATGGAGCCCCCATGACACTTTGTATCTCTGGGGCCAGGCGGAGACCGGCGTGCAGAGGGCCTTGGTGGATGCCAGCCGCACCTCCCACCAGCTGGAGGAGACGGTGGATGCCTTCCAGGAACAGAAGCTGAAGGACCTCCAGGTGGGGGGTGGTCGGTCCCCGGTCGGAAGTACTCTGGGCTGACCCATGGGTGAGCTCTGGTGGGTGTGCACCTGTGTATGTGCGAGTGCAAGTGTGTTCCCTGTGACAGAGTGTGTGTGTGAGCTTGTGCCTGCTCGGCTCTCAGGGCCCTGACTCCCAGGACAGTTCATCCTGGCTTCCTCCTGGCCGCGGCGGGTAGAGGCCGGCTGCTCGGGCAGCTGTCCTGCCCGGAAGCCAGCAGTGGCAGCCGTGCGCTCTCAGCACTTGGCCAAGCTCCCCGCCTGCCAGGAGAACTGGGCACAGTCTGTCCCCCCAGCCCCTGCCTTTCCGCACAGGATCCACAAGACCCTCCTCCTTTCCTCCGCACAGCCCCAGGGGCACAAATCCTTCCTCTCTCCACCCCGACACACGCACAGCCCCAGGCCCAGAGCCCCAGCTCTTACAAGAGGCCTCAGGGAGGCGGGGTCTTTAAGGGCAAGATGGTCACAGAGACCCCCGCACCCACTCTTGCCCCCCTGCCACTTTAGTCCATTTTCCAAACTGCAGCCCCAAGGATCTCACAAAAGGCAGCTCTGATTTGTCACTCCCGGGTTTAACACCCTCCTGTGCTTCCCTCATTCCAAGGAGAAAGGCTGAAATCCTCCCCAAGGCTTCAAAGCCCCAGCCCCGCCCTCCAGCCTTCTCTTGGACACACCACTCCAAGCTCCAAGAGTGCACCAAGACCTTTTATACCTCAGGGCCTTTGCACAGGCTGTGTCCTCTACCGGGAGGGCTCTGCCCTTACTCTGCCTCGAGTTCACGCCTGCTGTCCTTCAGAGAAACTCACCTGGACCCCCAGACCCGGTCCGAGCAACTGTTAACACTGTGCTCCACCCCCTCTGGGGGCGGCTACCCCGGGGGGCGCTTCACTGTATCTTTAGTTCGCTCGTGAATGTCATACATGTTGAATACACACCTACTATGCGCCAGGCGCTATGCCTGAGGCTGACGACATCACAGCCAGCAAAGCAAGGCCCTGTCCTCACAGAGCTGACACTCCTGGGAGAGAGAGTTCACGCAGACCCCGTGATGGTGGACAGCAGGGGAGCTCTCACTGCTCCACGCCACCTCCTATACTGCACGTCCAAGCCACAGAGCAGACCCCCTGCCTGCCACGTCCCCTCCTGGGTCCTGGGCACCAGGTCTAGGGCCTGGCACTCGGTGGGTACTCAGTAAATATTGGGGAAATGAATGAAAGAATGAACGAACGAACCGAGTTGAAACAGTGGTAATTACTGCTCAAGCATCCATGTTGCAGGCAGAACCTAAAAGCACCGGCAGACCGTTATCAAGCACCTGTTTTCGAGGCCAGCGAGAGCACACAAGGTTCTGCACTGTCGGCGGCCAACAGAAGCATGCATTTTAACATTTTAAATGCATTTTAAAATTGGGGGAATTCGTTTGTAAGAGATGCTTATCCAAACCTCCAAATGTTAAAAGAGATAAAAGCCCAAACTTGAAATAATCATTACCACTATATCAGTTTTAGGTCACGATTCTAATGAAATATCTACAAAATAACTGTCTGGCTCCTCTAAAAAGAATGTAAGCCGTGCTTTCAAGCAAAGGTTCACTCACCTGAGCGTGCGTCAGAAATGCCCTGGCGGTCTCCTTAAAACGCACACGGTGGGCCCACCCTGGCGTCCCATCCAGTGGGCCTGGGTGGGCCGAAGAATGTGCATCTCTGACAAGCTCCCAGGTGAGGCTGGTGTTGTTGAGGGGCCCGCAGGCCGAGAGCCGCGGCGCTCACTGAATCTCTCGTAGGGCTTTGTGAACTGGGACCACTCCTGTCCTTCCTGTGCAGACGAATAAACTGAGGCTTGAGAGGATACGTCATTTCCTCGGGGCCACAGGCCGGCAAAGGGCAGGACGCGGCCTGTTGTTGTCACCGGCACTGCCTCCCGGGGGCAGGACGGGAGGAGGCAGGAGCCAGGGATCTCCAGCACAGTCTTTGGCCCCCTCGCCCCTTCCTTCTCCCAGGCGGCCTAGCGGCTTCCTCTGGCCCGCCTCTTCCACGTGCTTCCCACGTGACGGGAAGAGGTGTGTTTCCAAACTGCAGGCTCCTCCCCCAACAGCAAGCCTGTTTCATGCTGGGGCCTGCCACGTTGTAGAAGCTTGTGCTGAGCCCAGCACACAGTGGGAGGTTGTGCTGGGCCCTACACACAGTGGGAGGTTGTGCTGGGCCCTACACACAGTAGGAGCTTGTGCTGGGCCCAGCATGTAGGAGGGGACTGACACACAATAGGAGCCTGTGCTGGACTTGACACAAAGCAGGAGTTTCCCCTCAGGTCTGGCACACAGTAGGAGCTTGTGCTGGGCCCAGCACACAGTAGAAGCCCCCACTGGAGCCGGACACGCAGTAGGAGCTCTGTGAGAGCTTACTGAGCCAAGCTGAACCATCTGATCAAGAGAAGCCAACGTTTCCATCACTAATAATGTTTTGACAAGCTGGCTTATCAGGTTGTGGGCCTTCTGGGCCAGTAGCATCCCCCCCCTCTCCCATAAGACCCACTTCTAGCCCGTGGGTGACAGAAGCTGAAAGTTTGTAGCCATCAACCTGACCTCAGAATGAGAGAAGCGCAAGCTGAGTGGAGGAGCCCAGGTTGACAGAGCTGAGAAAAGGATGCCCCTCAGAAAGTCCACAAGGCCTCACACATTTCTGGAACAATCTCTGTGCAAGGCAGCTTTTGAACTGTGGGAATGCATTATCTGTTCAACAAAAATAAATTAATTAGAAATAATATATTGAAATTCCACACCTAGGACCTGCCCCACAAAGACAACTAAGCCCCCGCCCACACACACACACCCCCAATTGGTCCATGTCGAGATGACCCCAGGACATTCCTTCTGACAGTGTTACTTATGTGACCTGGGCGTCTCTCCCCATAGAAAATTTTTTCGGACTTTGTGACCATTGAGATGGTCTTCCATGCCAAAGCGGTGGAGGTGTATTCCAGTGCCTTCCAGACCCTGGAGAGCTACGACCTGGAGAGAGATCTGGAGGTGGGTCACGGACATCTCAGCTCCTATTTGGGGGGTGGGGCTGAATTGGAGGTTGTTTTTGTCTTTTTTTTTTTCTATTGAAGCCTAGTTGATTTACAATGCTGTGCTAATCTCTTCTGTACAGCAAAGTGCCTCAGTTTTACACATACGACATTCTTTTTTAAAATATTCTTTTCCATTATGGTTTATCCCAGGAGATCCAATATAGTCCCCTGTGCTCTACAGTAGGACCTTGTTGTTTATCCATTCTATATGTAATAGTTTGCATCTGCTAATCCCAAACTCCCAGTCCATCCCTCTCCCTCCCACCCTCCCCCTTGGCAACCACAAGTCTGATGTCTCTGTCTGTGAGTCTCTGTTTTGTAGATAGGTTCATTTGTGCCATATTTTAGATTCCACATATAAGTGATATCATATGGTATTTGTCTTTCTCTGTCTTGACTTACCTCACTTAGTATGATACTCTCTAGTTGCATCCATGTTGCTGCAAATGGCATTAGTTTGTCCTTTTTTATGGCTGAGTTGTTGGTTTTGTCTTGATAGAAGCAGTTTTTGTTGGCGACATTCTGCAGCTTCTTGAACTTTGAAGGCTCATTGGAATGAACTGTTTTAAATATCTACCCCCGGGCACCGAACCAGAGGTGGGGAATTTCCCCAATACCTTCTCTCTGGACCATCCACGTTCATGACCATCACCTGGGTGCTTAAAACCAAATGAATCAACCACAAGAAGCATATCCAGGCTGACGCCTGCTGAACTTCGGAGGGAGACAAAGTACTTATTACCCACACCTGATGTGATTAGGATCTAGAAAAAGCCATCTGAGTTATCTCTAATGTGCTGCGTCACACCTCGTGGTGTAAAGCAGCGGTCGTTTACCGGGATTATCTTCTGTGGCTCGAGGGTTGGTGGGTTCAGCTGGGCTGTCCTCACTCCGGTCTTTCAGCCAATCCGTAGCTGGGGCCGGAGCTGTTTCCAAGGCTTCCTTGCCCGTGTGTGGTAGATGATGGCTGTCATCTGGGTCTAGGATGGGCCACGTGATTCGCAGAGTTCAGGGCAAAATGAAGACGTGGGCCCTTTGTTCAATAATTATTAACAATTCCAAGATGGCAGAGTCCTTCTGAGCTGGGGGCCCTGGGCGACTGCATGAGCTGTACCCCAGTGACGCCCATCCCGTCTGGGTCTGCAGTGGGGTCTGCAGCCTGAATAACTGCCCACGGCCTCTCCATGGGGCGTGGACTTCCTCACACCATGGCAGCTGGTCCAAGAGTGAGCATCAGAGAATTACACTGTGTCACCTTCCGTGACCTAGGCTCCGAAGAAACTGAGCATCCTGTCTGCCACATTCTGTTCCTTAGAAGTGCGTCACTAAGGCCATATTCAAGGGGAGGAGAATTATAGTCCAGCCCCTGATGGGAGAAGTGTCACAGAATTTGTGGATGAGCTTTAAAACCATCGTAGGAGGGTCAGTGAAGGTTGGCTGGGCTCTGGTGCGTTCACTCAACTCTACTTTATTTTGGTCGGGGGGGGCAGTGTGTTCTCTAATCTCCCTGCATGACTATGGACATGTTACCTTGCCTCTGGGCCTCAGTTTTCCCATCTGTAAAATGGGATGACAATGCCCACTTACCGCTCTGCAGTAGGTCATATGGAATAAGAAACAGGAGACTCCTAGGCGGACCTGGTGTAGGTGGGGGTCCCCGCAGTTACCTGTGCACCGGCTTCTCGTCCCACGTCTTTCTTTCCTGCTGGCACCCCTTTCTTTGTTTCCTGACCGGATCCAACCCTCCTGGCAGGATTTTAGAGCCAAGATGCGTGGAGTTTATGGGCGTTATGACGCTCGGCTGCTCACGGACACCACCCTGTCCCCGGCTGTCCCGTGGTTTCTCATCCAAGTGAGCACTGGGGGTGGGGCGTAACACCTGTGACAAGGTGAAGAGACCAGAGACCGGAGGCTGGCTGAGAACTCGGGTCTGAGAAGGGAGTGCTGCTTGGGGAGTGGGAGGGAGGCCCTGAATCTGACCTGGACCTGCCTGAAGCAGACACAGGGAACCACAGTGTGGTGAGGGGTGTCTCATGCTTTCTGAATAATTCTCTTGAAAGGCAGCGGAGGAAGTATGGTCCCCAGCCAGACTGCCTGGGTCCAAACCCACTGCTCCCAAGCTGTGTGACCCTGGGAAAGTTCCTTAACCTCTCTGTGCCTTAGATTCCTCACCTGCAAAGTGGGGCCAATGATAGTAACCCCCTCAAAGGTCTGTGGTATTAGGCAAACACATCTACCCGAAACATTCAGGAAACAATGCTTGTCACTGTCATTATTATTATTGCTGTGATGGTGATGATGATTTTGTTGTTGTTATGTATTTCTTTTATTTAGAGCACCCAGAGCACCGTACGGAGCCAGAGAAAAGAAGCAGCCAGTGAGGACAAGTCTGCTGAGGAGGACCCCGTGGAGGACCTCAGGGGACAGGGGAAGGGGCTCCATCGCTAGGACGAGAACTCCCCAGTCAGGAAAAGGGGGCTGAGGCTGGACGCTCGGAGGCTCTGCCGTGTGCAAGTCCCGTGTCCTCTGAGTCCCGCTTTCCTCATCTGTCTGGCAGGAATCACATGACTCAGCTCACAGGCTGCTCTGGGGATCAGGGTGCCCAGAAGGACACCTGGTACATAGCAGGTGTTCAATAAACGTGGGCGCATCTCACCCTGACTCCTGCTGGGTCTCATTTCCTGTCTTATGACTGGGCTTCTGGGTGTTTAAGCCCGTGTTAACGTGTGTTACCGAACCAAACTCGGGTCCATTTGCTTGTGTGCAGTAAAGCCAGTTTACTGACACCGGGTTGTAGTGAAGGAAAGGGCAGGATTTACTGCAGGCGCCAAGCAAAGAGTCCAGGCAGCTGGTGCTCAAAAGGTCCCAACTTCCCGATGACTTTCAGGAAAGGTTTTTAAACACAGGGTGAGGGAGGGAGACTGTGGGGCGCGTTATCAGCTCTTGGACATTTTTCTTTTATTCTTTTTTTTTTTTTTTTTTCGGCTGTACCTTGCAACTTGTGGGATCTTAGTTCCCCAGTCAGGGATCAAACCTGGGCCCCCTGTAGTTGAAGTGCAAAATCCTAACCGCTGGACCACCAGGGAAGTCCCTTGTGGACATTCTTCTGATTGGCTGGTGGTGAGGTAACTGGGCAGCATCCAGCTAACTTCTTCCACCTGTGGGGTTTCCGTACCTGCAAAACAGCTCAAAGGACATGGTGCAGAATATTATCTATAGCTCTTGAGGAGGCACTGAAGGTCCTTGGCTTTGTTTAATGGCTGAACTCTTAATATTTTCTCCTGCTTGACTACTTTCCTTAGCTTCTACATTTTCTCATTTCTCTGATTAAATTTATTCTTTGGAACTCGGGGAAGGCCTCGGAGGCTAAATTTTTCTACAAACAAGAGGCAGGTGGAGGACATTGGGTGGGTCTGTCCCGGGAAAGCCCCACAGAGTCCTTATTGATTGCAGGTGAATCATCTCCCAGGGCTGCCCTAACAAAGCACCACACGCTGGGGGCTTCAAACCACAGAAATCTATTCTCCCTCAGGCTGCCCTCCAAGATCAGGGTGCTGGCAGGTCTGGTTCCCTCTGGGGTCTGTTTCCCCTTTTTATAAGGACACCAGTCATAGGATCAGGGGTCCACCCCATTCATCCTAACTAAATATATCTGCAAAGACTCTATTTCCATGTAAGGTCACATTGTGAGTACTGGGAGTTAGGACTTCAACACATGAGTTTTGGGGACGCAATTCACCCAAACCATAGGGACGTGATGTGCGGGGATGACCTTGGGACCAGGGACACATCACAGAAGTGGAGGAGGGGTGGGGGTCCGCAGGCTCGACCACCTGCCCGCCTGGGCCCCCTGGGTGTGCACATTTGGGGAGCAAATTCCTGACAGTGGCTGGGGGCATCTGAGCTCTGGGTCACTCGGCTCTCAGCACACCTCCTGCTGCCTCCTAGAGACCTCTGCCAGGGAGAGGACGTCCTGCAGGCGTTCAGGATAAATGCTATGCTCTGGAGCCAGCTAGCCCCTGATTTCATTCCCCACTGCGGGTACCCTGATTTCCTCATCATCAAAGTGGTAAACAAAACCTTCCTCGCGGGTGTGGCGAGAAGGGAACCCTCCTACACTGTTGGAGGGAATGTATTATAAACTGGTGCAGCCACTACGGAAAACAGTACGGAGGTTCTTTAAAAAACAGCGTTACCATATAATCCAGCAATCCCAGTCCTGGGCATATATCTGGAGAAAACTAATTCAAGAAGATACGTGCACCCCAAGGTTCTTTGCGCACTATTTACAATAGCCAAGATACGGAAGCAACCTAAATGTCCATTGACAGATGAATGGATAAAGATGTGGTACCTACATACAATGGAATATTACTCAGCCATAAAAAAGAATGAAAGAATGTCATTTGCAGAAGCATGGATGGAACTAGAGATTATCATACTAAGTGAAGTAAGTCAGACAGAAAGACAAATACCATATGATGTCACTTACATGTGGAATCTAACATATGACACAGATGAACTTATCTACGAAACAGAAATAGACTCACAGACGTAGAAAACAAACTTATGGTTACCAAAGGGTTAAAGGGGGTGGCATAAATTAGGAGTATGGGATTAACAGATACACACTGCCATATATAAAATAGATAAACAAGGTCCTACTATATAGCACAGGGGTATCTTGTAATAACATGTAATGGAAAAAAATATGAAAAAGAATATGGATATGTACAACTGAATCACCTTGCTGTACACCAGAAGCTAACACAACATTGTAAGTTAGCTATATTTCAATAAAAAAATTAAATAAAAAAAACCCCAAACCTTTCTCATGGGATCATTGCAGGATTAACGTCTTCGCCACAGTGACTTTTATTTCCCAAGATCCAGCTCCAAGGCACCTCCTCAGGGAAGCCCACCCTGATTCAACCAGGAAGGACACTCACTCCAAAAATAACTACAACATTCTATATTTCCTATATAATAATTTATAAAATAACCTTATCATCGATTGTATTATATAACATCACATTTAAAGTATATATTTATGTTATATTTTTATATATGTTATATTTTATGTTATATTTTTATATTCTAAGCATATATATGTGTGCACATGCACGCACAGACAGACACACACAAATGTACCTTTTTTTAACCTCAGCTGTGTCTGAACCCCACTGATAGTTTCTGAAGGAAAAGGACCTTGCTCCTTCATCTTGTGGTCCTGGAGCCTGGTGGCGCCTGGCACATAGTACGTGCTCATTAAAGGAAAGTTGATGGCACAAGGGGCCTCTCCCCTCCCTCTCTGGCCCCAGCACGCTGAAGAGACCAATTGTTCCCAATTCCAGGGTTGGACATCGGCCAGGAGCTTCCCTGGCTCTCTCTGTGTGCATGGTCGCTTGGGAGTAGGGACAAAATTCCTAGCTCCTCTCTTTGGGGCCCAGGAGGTGGGAGGGGGGGTGAGCAGGGGTGGAAGGAGCATAACTTTTGGGGTCTCTTTCTTTCAGAGTCCCAGGCATTGAGGACAAACCCACCCCACTGCTTCCCAGTGCAACTCGCGCAGGATCTGAGTACAGGAGAAAAGAGAGCACCTGCGGTCATTTCCTGTGACATTAAAAGGTGACTTCGTTAGTGATAGGCTTGTTCCAAATATGGAAAGAGGGGAGATGCTTCTTTAGGGGAGCCGGAGCGTTTGTGGCACTGCGCAGGGGAGGTGGCTGCAGACAGAGGTGCTCGACACGAATTTAAGGGATAAGACTGTTACATGATCAGGGTGCCCTGGAAGCCTCAGCACAGTTTTAAGCGTCAGTAAAGTCAGAAGTAGAAAGGTTACAATTTACAAAGGAACACGATTTGAATGCCTAATTGTTTAAATTTCTTTTATATTTAGTGTCATGAATTTTGAAGAATATGCCTTAAATGGATTCCTATAAAATTTAGAGGGAAGTTTCGTCGTTTTTCTTTTTCCTTTAATGGGCAGGACCCTTCCTACAGGTACAGCTCCCAGGTTGATTTATTTCCTCATCGGGACAAGGAGGAAAGAGATTGGAGTGAGAAGCACGTTTGCATTTCTTGCAGGAACCGCCTCGGCTGGGTGATGTTTTCCCTCCCATTATATGGATGAAGAAACTGAGGTTCAAAGAACAGTTCGGGAAAAGGCACGCAGTGGGTTGGTGGGGAGGTAGAACGGGACCCAGGCTTGGGTCCCCGTGCTCTTCAGGGTCCTTGCTGCCTTCAGAGGGGTCCTTCCCTGTCACCAGGAGTTGCCTGTGAATCCAGCCCCTGGCCTTCAGCTGCTGGACTCCCCTGGCACCAGAGGAAAAGTCAGGTGTGAAGGCTTCTACCACCCGGGCTGGTCCTCCAGGCTGGGTGGGAGAACCAGAGACACGCCTGTCCGGCCCCCGCCCCACTGAGCATCAGGGCACATACCCCAGCCCATCTCAGGTGGCCAGGCCAGGGCTGGGGGACCTGCCTGCACCTTTGCCCTGGGAACCATCCCACCCGGGGCCCCTGGAACTGAGTCCACTGCTCCAGGTACCAAGGACACTTCCTCTAGGCCCTGTGCTGGTCCTCAGGCTTACCTCCCGGATCTGTTAGTCTGGAGAGTTAGAACATGGCTATTGACCTCTTATAATCAGGAAAAAAGAAAGCCCAACATTTCACAAAATACGTCTGTCAAACCAAGTTGTAAGGGATGATGAAGGTGTCCTGTGTGTGTCAGGCGGGGGTGGTGATCACATTCTACTCACAGCCCCCCGACCCCCAAAAGCAAGAAGTGAGGCAGCTGTGGCTCAAAGGCAAGACCAGGATATCAGCTGGAAGGGGCTGGAGGCATCCTGGAGGCCAAGGCCCCTCTGTGCACTAACACAGCCCGGCGGTGACTCAGCGGACACTCCCTCTGCCCATCGGTTTGGCCACGACACACACACACACGTCTGCACAAGACCCAGCTGCTCAGCCTAAGTGGGGAGAACGTCTATTTGACCCTAGAAAAAGGTGTTTTCTCTGTCATCACTGAGAAGATTGCAAATTCTGTAAAAAAAAAAAAAAAATGTGCTCACGGACATGTGAAAACAAAAATTCAACAGGCTGACTTCTTTTTTTTAAGAATTTATTTCAGTTTCTGCCTTCTGACAATCTGAGGTGAAATATATAGACGGTTTTTTTTTTCTTCACAGGAAACAGCTTTGATTTTAGCACTGTTCTGAGAGCTTGACCTTGAAACTTTCTCCACCTGAAAATATAGTTTGTAGAACATCGCCTCGTGGGACACGAAATTGCGTAAGTGTACATATAACGTATCTGCATCACGGACCCCGGCTTCTGGGCCACTAAGGGCAATGCGTGGATATGGCCAAGGCAAGTTCAGGTCCGAGACCAATGGGTGGGAGAGAAACAGGGGATGCACGTGGGAGACCCTCCTGAAGTCCCAGAGGCCACAGTTAGAGCCACGAAGCTCTCGAGCTGACACGTCTTAAGGGGAGGTACCTGCCATTTGAGTTCGAGCCTTTCCTACTGTTCAAATGGTCAGCCCGTCCATCTCAAGGCGTCCACGGGAACCTAAGCAAGCCTCCAGCACAGGGACAGATCAGGGCCCGCATGTGCAGCCTGTGTGTGAGAACCGGGCCTGCTGACCTGCTGAGCACTTCCCTTTCATTTCCGCGAGTGCACCGTCCAGGACCAAGGTGGGGACAGGCACAGCCCCCCGGGGTCCGAGGGGCATCACAGCAGCCGGAGCCCTCCTTCCAGCTCAGCGACCCCGTCTGTGCTGCACAGGAGGGCGCCAAGCGACAGCGTCCTGGTCTGACCCTGCAGGACAAGCGAGGATGCAGGGTCACCCCCGCCTGCACAGAGGTCCTGCGGGAAGTGATGGGAAGACGGGCAAACCCGGGCCATCCTGACTTGCTCCTGGAAATGACAAGGTGTTCCTTCTCCAATAGTAACCGAGAACTCTAGAGCGGGAGCAGTGTCCCCTTGACTCCTGGGGACACAGCCAGGGGGAAGGTTCCCCCCTGCAGCCCTTCACTCATCTCAAGCTCAGACAGACCAGCCAATGCAGGGACACAGGCCAGCGCCAGGACACCCAGGGACGAGGTGGGCCGGCCACCCTAGGCGCTTGCTGGGGAGGGACTGCAGGGAGATGGTGGCAGAACGAGGCCGGGGGGGCCGGCCACGCGGAGGGTCTTGGCGTTGAGGGTGCTCCTGGGTGGGAACCATCTGGAGAACCCACACAGGCCTGTTCCCGGCCGCTGGGCGACAAGGACGTACTGGGACATGTGACTTGACTAAGGCCTGGCTCCAGCCCAGGTCTGAACGTCGCACACCAGCCAGTTAGGGGCACTTGTCACCGATGCCATTCCCCTGTATGAACTCAGCTTCAAAGGCTTTTCTAGCGAAACTCACCCTCAAGAATCGTAAAAAGGGATCAGTGATTTGCAGGAAGACGGGGAGATGGCTGAGTGGCAGGAACAGTGGTTCAAGGAAACTAAAAGGCTGGGGTGGGGCGCTGCGAAAAGAACCCCGGGACCGAGGGGCCGTGGGCCCCCACCCCCGCAGCTCTGTCTGTGGCTGAGGAAGAGGGTGGCCAGGGGGTGACAAGCCTGGGACCGCCTGGCTGCTACCCCTCCCCCGAGGCTGGTGCCGGGCCCTTCTCCCCCTGCTTCCCAAGCTCCCTACTGTTCTGGCAAATGACTCAGGCCCCTGGCTGCCCAGCTGTCTCAATTGTAGGTGATTTGGCCATACAGCTGATCTAACCGCACCGACCTGCTGGGATCCCCACTAGCTGAAAAACCAACTCGTCGGGGTACAGCAACGCCCAGGAAGGTCAGGCTTGTAGCTGCAGCCCTGACTGCTGGTCACGGTCACCTGGGTTCAACAAAACTCCTCGCAAGCCCCCCTGTGGCGTGAACACTGTGCTTCTCACACTGGGAGGCTGCGATACCAAGTGCTCTGGGTGATAAACCAGCCCACTTAAAACAGCCGACGGAAAAGCAACCCTCAAGGCTGCCACCTTCTCTCCACGGCAATGAACTTCACCGTCTAACCGGGCAGGGAGAGGTGAGTACGGGCTCCACTGGTTCCAGCTTCCGGGAAGGAGGAAAGAGAAAGGTCAGGCGGCACCTCTGACTCCAGTCCTGGGTCTCTGCCCTAAACCCAGCGTGGGGCTTGCCCGTGACCCTGACCATCCCGGGTTTCACTGGAGCACAAAACTCACGAATTGGACTCTCTCCAGCCCTCCTTTTGGCAACTTAAGAGCTCCTTGGTCTGCTTTTTTCCCCTTTCGGCGATAGGAAAATCATGGTCTACTCCCTTTCACTGTACAAAGAACTTACAATATCAGAACTTGGTTCTCCTGCCTTTGATTAAACGCGCGCACACAGCAGATATGATCTGAATGCTAGCACAGCCCCTCTTAAACATCTAACGATATTGCTAAAACTGCAACAAAGGCTGAAGACGTACAAAGCCACATCTCGACATCATCCTATTTCCAAAGCAGGGTACTTTTTACTTGGGAGAATTAGCTGTTTTTGGCTCATTACGATTCACATAGCCCTGAAGGGCAGACAGCAGGAGACTGAAATGCCATTGCTAACACAGTCCTTTGAAACCCCTGGCTTGGGACCCTGAACCTACTGGGACTGGAAACTCTCCTCGTGGATATGACCCGACGCTTCCTGCCCCGAGTCTAAGGGTCCTGAGTTTACAGGGAGGGCCACCAGAGCTCTTTCTCCAAAGCCTCCTGTGTGTACGGCGGGGTGAGACTTCTCCGCCCTCGGACCTGAGAGCCCGCCCTGTGTCTGTCTGCTCGGAGCGGGCCTCGGAGGGAAGATCGTGCCACGGAGAGAGGAAACGTCAGCGAGGCAGGCTGCCGGCTCCTGCTAGGCAGGCCGTGCGTCCCCCGGGTGACGGTGGTCAGACACTCCGAGGTGAAATGCTCGGCCAAAGGCAGACGCCACCAGGACACAGCAGGGCAGCCTCAGAGCCACCCCGACATTGGTCACTCCACGAGGCCCACGGTCTCCGGCAGTGTCCCCTCGTAGGGCTGAAAGCAACAGGCAGCACTTCTGGGGTCAGACTCCACTCTCAGGAGCTAGATTTACACAAACAAGGGGAGAGGAAAAAACCCAAAGCAACCCTTGCTTCTACCTTCAACTGCTATTTCAAGAGGCCTGTATGGAAAAAAAAAGGTCTCAAGATCATCTTGAGGTTAAAGTGCCTGGAAAAGCCCGAAGAAGTCAAAGTTGCATTTTTCCTTCCAAGGCTGCACGGGCCCTCCCGCCCCACCCTGCGGGGAGAGAGCCGCCAGCTCCCCAGCACCCCTGGGAAGACCCAGAACCTACTGTCTCCCTCCAGAAATCAGACTGGATCGAACGTCCGTACAAAAATCTTCTATGTACAAGGATAAGTCTTTTGGGCACCTTTAGAATAAAATCTTAATGCATTTCAACTAACCACTAAGAAAGCCAACAACACACGGCCTCAGGGGGAGAGCCCTGCGAGGGCACGTGGCCCTGCTCCTATGGGGGGTGGGGGGAGCACAGCACACGCAGGGGTCGTAGTTGAACGTCTCAGGAGGGGCTGCGTTATCTTCAGGAGGCACTGGAGGAGGAGCCCACACACCCGTCAGCTGGATGTGATTTCTCTGAAACGCGTTCCATAGAGACCCGTCCTATCACTGGGCCCAGCATCGGGTGGAGGCGTTCCAGCCCGTGTGACCCACCCCGCACAGGACAGGCAAATTGGCGACACAGCTGTGCTTTGTTTAGTGACATGGCCAGAGAGGCTGCCACCACACACACACACACACACACACACGTGTGCGCGCGCACGCACACGCCATTGCGAAAACAGCAGGGTTTCTGAAGCCCCAGCCCCCCAGGTCTCCTGGAGGAGCAGCTCACGCCGGCGCACTCGGGTCCTGCCGTGTTTCCTGTCATCTCTCTTAGGATCACCCGGATGTGCGTTCCTCAGCTCAACCAACGCACGCTCTGCTCTGGAACATTCCAGGGAGGCATCCCCCACGAGGGGAAACTTGGAGGGCCGGAGGGCTGGGTATCTGGCGTGTGGAGGAGGTGCAGCGGGGACACGGGACGAAGGACCAAGGCGGGAAGGACGGAGCCCCGCTGGCCTTGTCGTCAGCGCCCAAGAGCTGGGGCTGGGGCGGGGTAACCGGGCTCTCCAGGGAAGCTGGTGGCAGGCTGAAGGCCTGCTGGCCAGACTGCGGTCCCTCGGGCTGGTCAGCTGTGCCTGGTACAAACCTGGGGGGAAGAGCCCCGGCTCCCGGCACCTGAGATGGCGAGGGGGTGTCCGCAGAGTCCGCAGGGAAGTGGTCCAAGGGCTCGGGTGGCGGAAGGTACAGGCTTCCCCAGGCGGCCGGGGTGGAGGGCCCGACCCTCCGAAGCCCCGCTACCCAGCCTCACACAGTCACCGCCACAAGCGGCCTCTGCCACGGTGCCTGTAACGCTGACACAGATTCTTTTGTCTTTTTTGAAATAAAGGGCAGCACTGTTCGCTTTCAGAAAGGGCTGCTGTCCTGAAGCTGCTGAAGAAGCTTCTCTTCTCTGTGCTCCGTCACGGGACTGATGGCCCCAAGCCACTCCCAGGGAGCAAGGGGCGGAAGCGTCTCCACTCCAGAAGGAAGCTGTCGGCTGAGCGGGGACATCTCAGACGGCCTGACACAGACACCTGAGTGCTACGTGGTTCCAACACAGCCACTCGGAGCCGTGCCGTCTCCCGGCGCCCACACCCCTGACCATGGCTGGGCCTTCTGCAGCCGGGAAGGCACGTCCTCTGCCCCGGTCTCTCTCCCGTCCTGGAATAGGGGGTGTCCCTCTCCTCCTGGAGCTTCCTGGGACTCCCGTCCCTGCTGCACGGAGAGGGGACCCGGAAAAGAGCCAGCACCGGCCGTGGACCGACGCTCAGAGGCCCCCGCCCCCTCTGCTTGGCCCCCGCTCAGCAGGAACCCCACTGTGGGAGGAACCCAATCCCACCCTGCCGGGGGGCCCCCAATCATCACTCCTGACTGCCCTGTGTCACTGGCGTGTGCCACCCCACAGCTGCCCTTCCCTACCCTCCCATGTGCACCCCAGCCTCTCCCGCAGGGGGCTACGATGGACACCGGCCCATCGTGGACCCAGCATCCTCCCTCCTGCGCCCCGTCGGTCCCACGTCGCAGGTCTGCCACTCGGGGATATGGAAAGTCACCTCGGTGTTAGCTGTGTAATCCCAGAGACACTTTGGCACGCAGATGGGGGAGCAGACACAGGCAGAGGGGAGGCAGGGAAAACGGGCAACCAGATTCTTCTAGCCGCTAGTTCTAGGGCGGTGTGGGGCGCCTCTGGGTGCTGCCAATGTCATGCGGGGGCGGGGGTGTGTGTGACAGCCAGCCGTGGGCCCGGGAGGGAGGCGCGCACCCACAGTCCTCCTGGGGGAGCCTCGGGCCACCTCCCGAGGCCTACTCGGCGGCCATCTGCTCGATGTGGTCACTCAGCAGCTTGTACTGCTCTGGAAGAGAAAACAATGTTATTCCTCGTGAGAGAGACGGCGACACGGACAGGCAGGTCCTTCTCATTCGGGGTGATAACAAAGCAGGCCCTCCCAGGCATGGTGAGTGTGGGCTTCTGAAGGTGTGCCCTCAGCCTGGCAGTGGGCTCCTTGGAACCGGGATGCATCTTCCCATGGCAATGACCCTCCACAGGGCAGCCCCGCAGGCCCCCAGGAAGCCTGGTGTGGGCAGATGAACCCTATCACGGGAGGCAGGCGTGGGTCCTGGAGGCTACGCAGGGGTCACGTGGTGGAGGGCACAGTGTTCTTGCCCTGTGATGAGTGGTGGGGCTGGTGACAGCACTTTGAGATTTTCCAGGGGCACCTCCTGAGGCCACCTGTCCTTGGCCCTCTTTAACTCGGTCCAGGATGGAGTTTTATTTGTAAACAATATCGATCTGTACAAATCTATGTCTAAGTGGAAGAGTTTTCAGGGGACAAGCAGGAAGCATCTTGTAGCACGTGGGATGACGCCTAAAGGCCAGCTGTCGATCAGGGAAGCTGACATCAGCAACGTGTCCCCTCCCGTTACAGACGCCAGAGATGCCGGAAAGACCTCAAGACCCCCGCCGCTCCCCCGGGACCTCCGGCAGCAGTGTCATGCAAGCAACGAAGACAGGCCATGTGGTGGCCATTTAGAAGGAGGGGCAACTCAGCGCCAGAGTCTGCCCATTTTCAAGGTCAGAGTCTGAGCACCAAGTTATATCTTTTCCTGGGCCCTGTCTGTAAGCACTGACCTGGTGGGCCCCACACCATCCTGCCCCACGTGGGCAAGCTCTACCTAGCAGAACTGGGTCTCCAAGGGGAAGGAAGAGTGTCCCGCGCACGCAGGCGGACAGGAACGTTTAATGTCCCGTTGGTAATTACAGCAGGGACAGTCCTCTGAGCCGGGTGGGGATTCCAGCACGCAACGCACTCGGCCCTGAAACCCCGGCCCTGCCGCCACTCACCCTCATCCAGGTTGCCGATCACCGCCTGCTTCTTCAGGAAGTCGTTGCACAGCTTCTTGTTCAGCCCGAACGCCAGCATATTGTGCGTGAATGTGCTGGGGGGACACGGCCGCGAGCTGGCACCCCTCCCGCCTCCCGAGGGGAAGGGAGCTGGGGCCCGACATGCAGCCCACCGGGCCGGGGAATCGATAGCAAGATGTAAAACCAAATCGCCTCATCGGCCAGCCCTGCTCACCATGAAACCGTGTTAGGGGCGGACTAATTAGGAACCGGAGTCAAGGCCAAATGGAGTGAATCGTGTGCTTCTGAGCCATTTAAGAACGCACAGTGGTCGTGACACTGAGTGAGGGATGTGTGACGTCATAAGGGTGGCGCTCCCCCAGCAGAGCCCCCGGGTAGAAGCGTCTCACCCGGCGGTCCCTCCTCACACCGCCCTGCTTGCTCATCTCCTGGGTGACCCGGGGTGGGCGTGGGCCCCCGTCCGGGTCACAGGGCGGGGGGGGTGGAGGGCGGGTGGCAGGCCGGCCCTGGCGCTCACCCCAGCTGCCCGAAGGTGATGTTCTCGTTGAACCGCAGGCTGTCATCCCGCTCCTCCTGGGTCATGTGGCACCACCTCTCTCTGCAAGCACAGGAGGGGCAGTGGAGGGGCTTCAGAGCCCACATCCCCGCCGCTTGGCCCCCTCCTGCTCTGACCCACAGGTGCTGGCCTCCCTGACAGAGAGGGGACACCTCTGCCGAAGAGCTGTTGGCGCTGCTTCTAGGAAGCCTGACCGAAGGCTGCCCCTCTGCCTGGGGGCCCGAGACCCACACTCATCACCTTCTCCTGGCGGAGACAAGGCTCAGGACCCAGAGACAATGTGCGCTTAGCGGCTGCCCGGAACATTCTCCGGGAGACGAGAATGCTGCCCCCACATCCTTCTCTAAGGTTCAAGGACAACGGAGGCCGAGGTCCGTGTCACCGGTGGGGAGGCGTGCCGAGAAGCCGGCGGAGCAGGGGTCAGGAGCCCAGCGAGCGTCTGCGGCCTCTGACCACATGCTGCCCATCAGGCCGGCCCGCCTCTGCCGTTCACTGTGCTCCCAGGCTGCCTCGTAGGGCACGGGGACAGGCCCGTGAGCACGGAGAAGACGGCACAGAGCCTCTAAGCAAAGCTGGGAACCCAACGAGGAGGGACCACGGCCCGTGTAGCTCCATGTGCTCTCCGTGAAGCAGCACGGGGCTCAGGGTTCGGGCAGTGAAGGTGCTCTTTTGAGCTCTTTTTGAGCTCGGTGTCCCTGACTGAGAGCGAACGCCGCCCGATCCTGCAGGGCGTCAGCCCCTCCCCTTACGGCTGAGCACCCTTGTCCCCAGTGGCCCAGGACCGTCAGCCACTGCATCACTCCACCTCCACCCCCCGGGGCATGGGAGCCGCGTGGCCACCGAAGAAGTGAGCAGATGTCTATTTCCCCTTAAAAATTACACTCTGGACAAGGAGTCTGACTAAAACAGAGCTGAGAGGAAAAATACAAAAGAAAAGGGAGAGAAGAGGCAGTATGAGGGGGTGAGGGGTCAGGGCGATGGAGAAGCTGAAAGAAGAGGAACAGAACCAACAACATCGACTCTTAACTCCTCTCCCCTCTCCCAGCCCAGGGAGGCTACTGGTGCCGCTGCAGCTGAGCGGGAGCCACGGGACACCAGGGCGCAACAGAGGCGGCACTGGCAGTCTCCCAGTCTCCTCACACTGACAGGACACCCACGAAGACACCTGGAATGTGCTTCCAGGCACTATGCTAATCCCATGCCATGTTCCTTCCCATCCTTTTTCCCTGAGTGGTCACCCTTAGAATCGTCCAGGCACATAAACTCCCACACCACCACCAGGCTCGCTGGGTACAGTTGCACAGGTTGTGCACTGCACAACCCCAGACCATGTGGAAGTGGCTCCCTTGCAGGCGTGCAGCACAGCAGCCCTGACCCAGATGAGGAGGTCAGTCCTTTTGCTGTGGCGAGGACTAGAGTTGGGACATTTTATCTGATCTCTGAAGAAACAGGTAGAAAGGTCATTTGGGATCAGGGGATGCCTACCAACAAATCAATTCCTTAAAATTGAGTTCAACACCCAATACTGGTCGAGGTCTAATACCACAGGAGGGCAGATCGTGTGTCTAAATTGCCACAGTGGGAATTCGGATGTGTCCAGCAGCTTACAGAAGAGGAAGCCTCCTGAAACGGGGACATTTCTGCCTCTGAGAACAGAGAGGGTGCTGATGGTGCTGTCGGCAGAGTCTGCCAAAGAGGAATCATGCTGGAGGCACAAGGTTGCCCAAGGACCCAGAGCCAACCCCCGGCCCCCAATCTCGGGGTGTCCTGGGGGTCAGATCTGGGATGTGCATGGCCAGACCACATCTGCTCTGGGTGAGGAGGCCTGTGAGGCCCAGAGGCTCACTTCCCCTCGTGGGGCTCAGAGGTCACGATGCTCCAGCCCTGTCGGGCCTGGGCTGTGGTGCTGGGAAGCCTTGCTCCAGGAAGGCTGGTTAATTACACACACACCCCCGCCCCCCAGAGAGTCTGTGGGAACTTGGGGGCTTTTTAGGAACGGAGGTAGCTGCCGTGCCTAAATGCTCCTTTTAAAGCCATAATAAGGCTGCATTAAAAAAAACAAGATTTCTCATAAAACAATAAGCACTAAAAATACATCACTGATTAAAGGAAGCATGCTTTGGGAAATTTCCACCAAATTAAAAACAAGCACTGAATCAGAAACTATATTTTGAATAGGCAGGCCTTTCACTCTAAAAATATCTTAACCAAGATATCGAGCACATATCAAGTTCAAACAATTGCAGTCAGACCCCACCGTGGGCTCGCAGGAAATAGCCTGTTCTAGACCTTTGTCTTCAGGGGACCCCCTCACACACACACGCCTCACACCACACAGTGGCCGGGGGGAGGAAGCAGCTGTCCTTCCTCCGGGACCCCCCAGACCTGTCAGAGTGGGCGAGGGTCTGCCAGAGCCCGCAGGCCCCTAGGCACAACTGCAGGGACAGGTCCTCTGGCCCGACCTGCGGCTCCTGAGCCCGGATCAATGACCGAGCGGACAACAAGGGAACCCAAGGGTGTGGTTTCGGGGTCCGCTGGGAGGGCCAGAGTGGCCCATGGAGGCTGGACTCGCTCCAGGTCGGAGCTGACCTCCTGGACCTCACTGCCCTCTCCTCTCGGGATGCGCACCGGGCCTCATGGGGGTCTCGGGGGCCGTGTCTGTCTGCTGACCATTTCGGGGTCTCTATGCTCGGCGAGCTCCCCACTGTCTGTTGCCAGCCTGTCCCAGCGCTGGGCCCGCCGGCCGCGAGTCACACCCACGTCTGGTCACACCCCCCTCCCCTCCGACCCAGCGGCCCCGAAGGGCCCCCGCACTGTCCATGGACAGTCACGTGGACACACACCTCTTCTTCTCCTCCTCTCCAGCATCCCCTCTGGAGCGGCAGCAGAAACAGGTAAACAGAGGAACACGTCAAAGTCATGCAAGATATGTGGATGGAAAAGAGAGCAAAGCGTGGAAGGAGGGTTATCACAGCGGAGACGGATATGGAGACGGGGTTCCAGGGGGCGGTGGCCCAGGAGTCTGAGAGCAAAGCAACACGAGGATCCCCCTCGCCTACAGGCACTTCCTGCATCTGCGACTCCCAGAAGGGCGGAGAACTCTCTCCCTAGAATCCTTAGGAACGTTCCAGCATCGCTTCCTCTCCACGTGCTCCCCTGCCTTCCCGGGGCACACAGCCACAGCAGGCCGCTGTGGGGTACAAGGCAGGTCATCCCGATAGGGTTTACTTCCCCCCCAAAAAAGATTTCACTTAAGATCCCCCAAGTGCTCGGGGACTAAAGCCTTAACCAGCAGGCACCTGCCCTCTCTCCTGCCGGGAGAAAGGTTAAGGGGTCTCCCCAGGGTCAAAGAAGGCGGGGATTCAATTTCATCAACGAGGAGAGACTCAGACTTCAAAGTCCCATGACTGGAGGGGCCAACGAGGTGACCCAGGCCTGGGAGGCCGCTGCCCCTTCCCCGCCCCGCTGCTGCACACGGCAGGCACCAGCCTTAGCTCGCCGCCGTGGCCAGAGAGAGCTGAGCACCCGTGCCCAGCCCTCGCCGCCGCCCAGTGCTTAGTGAACCGGTTTACAAAGGGAGTCTTCCGAAGTGGCAAGACTGCCCTCGGGGAAGCTGCAGCCCAGAGGAGTAAGTTGACAGTAGCGACTGCCCTTCTCAGACGCGAGCCCAGCACCCAGGGTCCCGCGGCAGTGGCCTTAGCTCGGGAGTCTGGAGTCTCACAGAGACAGGCAGAGTGGGTCCGAGGGGGGCCCTGTGGGCTTCACTCAGTGGGAGTCTGCATTTCTTAGGAGGGTCAGGCCGAGTCATGCCGGAGCCCCGGGGCAGGAAGCGCTCATGCAAGCTGGGCCCCCCACCCAGGAAGCAGTGCGCCCGGGACCCTTCAGGCAGCTTGCAGGGCACTGGGGCCGCAAGGGGTTGAGGAAGAAACACAGACGCATCGACTCAGCCGTTCTGTCCTCCTGCTTTCCTCTTCAGGAACGGGACAATAAAGCCTCGCCCTGGTCCTCTTCCCTGGGGCAAAGCGGGCCCTGACTTGGCTCCTACCTGGTGGTGGGAGACCGCTTTCTCCTCTCACAGTGGACAGCGTCGAAAAAGGCCGCGTTCCAGAACCTCAGCGTGTGCCTGCAAGACAGACAAGGCCCATGTGCCTTTATCCTAAATGGAGCTGGTTTCCACCCCACCCCCCCCCCCCGCCCGACCACCCGGCAAAGTGTCCTGAGGGCATCCGTGCGTCTCTCCCAGGACTCAGCCTGGACTCATCGGGTCAAAGGGGAAGCCGCCACCAGCGGGATGTGGGCGAAGGCCGTTTCCCCTTCTCTGTCTCCGGCTGAGGCTCCCAACAGGAAGCAGAGGCTTTGAGGAGGCCTGCTTCTCTAGAACACGGTCTAGTAACATAAATGGGAACCCCGGCAGGGACAGGCCACATGCAGAGAGCAAACGCATTTATAGCGACACACAAGGAAGAGGCATTCTTCCCAAGGATCAGGGTCAGCAGACCTACGGCACGTGGGCCAAGTCCGGCCTGCTCTCTGTCTGTGTAAATCAAGGTTTATGGGATCACAGCCACACCCCTCCACTTACACCCTGTCCACGGCGGCTCTGGCACTACAGCACTGGAGGGCAGTGGTTGCCTGTAAAGCCTAAAATACTTACCACCCGGCTCTGTACAGAAAAGTGGGGCTGAGCCCTGTTGCAGATAAGACAGCAGCGGAGCCTAGAGGGGCCCAAGCTACGTCAGATAGTAGGACCGGGGCTGCTGGGCTCCCTCTCCCTGCTTCCCCCCGAGGCTGGCCCTGCAGGGTGGGCTCTCCTCACGGAGGCTTTGGGACAGCTGCAGCCCAGCCCTGGTCGGCCGTGTGCCTCATGCGCCCCATTCTGCCGCCCCAGGTTCTCCCACCGCAGCTAGACCGTGATCCTCGCGGGAGGGGCACGTCTGACACCCTTTGGGTTCCAGGGGCTACTACACCGCCTACTTGTGAGGAAATAAAAGCCACCAACAGAGAGGCTTCAGAGGGATGAGAGCGTCCTCAGAGAAAGACAGAGGGCGAGATGTCCCCTGACCACTGGTCTCCCACTGCAACCACGACCGTCACGTGTGTACATTATTGACACATACAGAACAGCTGTACTAGGATATAAGTCACATACCGTAAAATGCACGCTTTTCAAGTACACAATTCAGTGGCTTTTAGTATATTCACAGAATTGCGCAACCATCGCCACTATCCATTTCCGGGACATTTTCATCACCGCACTCCCGGCTTCCCCCAGCCCCTGGCACCCACCAATCTGCTCTGTCTCCAGGGCTTTGCCTCCTGGACATTGTGTGTACATACACTACTTGGTCTTTTGTGTCTGGCCTGGGTCACGTGGCAGAACGTTTTCCAGGTCCACCCACGTCGTGGCAGGTGTGGGTGCCTCATTCCTTTACGTGGCTGAGTGATAGCCCACATTTCGTGTATCCACCTTTGGGCTCTTACGAATAACAGTGTCATGAACATACGTGCACAGGTTTTTGCTTGAGTACCTGTTTTCAACTCTTTTCAGTGTCTACCCAGGAGTAAAACTGCCGGGGTCATGGGCTAGAGCTCTGTTTAACTGTTGCCCGACCATTCTCCGCGGTGGCTGCTGCATGGGACGATCCCACCAGCCGTGTACGAGTTTCCGATTTCCCTGCAACCTCACCCATCTTTTCTCCTTTGGCTCTCCTAGGGGGCGTGAGTGGCCTTTACTTCTGATGGAGACATGGGTGCTGGTGACACAGGTCGAGGGTGGCCTTACCAGATGGGCTGCTGCTTCAGGTGTGTGTATAGGTAGATCTTCTCCCCCTTCCTCTCTTCCTCTGGGCTGCACACAGTCACTGCGGGAGGGGGAGGGAGACTGAGCGAGGCAGACCCCCCCCCCCCCCGCCCCGACTCCAGCGACCCTCCCAGCAGGCCCCGCATCATCCCACAGGTCATACAAACATAGAGCGGAAACTCCATGGCACCGGCCCTGCGGCCCTCAGGCCTGGCCCTGAGGACTCCTCCCCAGGGAGGGTCCCGGGAACAGCTCCCCCACCACTGGGGATACTTTCCTTGAGTCCCCTGGGAGGAGGAGTTGATCCCCAGAGAGGCGGGTTTTCCGTGGAAGTTCAGTAAGCGGTTAGAGACCACAGCAGAGCGCAGTAGGACAGCATCCCCTGCTACGGGGGAGCTGGAGCCCCAGGCGTCCAGGGACCTGCGGCTCCCTGTGGGCCAGACTGAGGACCCGTGGCGCTGCTGCGGCACCGCCCGGCCCCGCGAGCACGGGCAGGCACTCACCCGTCTTCCGCGGCTTCTCCTGGGACTTGCCTTCTTTCTCCCTTGGGGAGAGAAACCATAGCAGAGACAAAACGACCCAAAGAACCCTGTTATGTTGCTGAAACGGGATGATGCCTCATAACCAACGTGTAAATCGAAGGTGGCCTTCTCTGCAAACATGTTTACGAAATCAACGCCACGTGTACCGCCTGCCAGCCTTTTAGAACTGAGATGTGCTGTTCAGGCTTCTCTGTGCCATTTTCTCTGAATCCAAGACTGTCCAGACCAGAGGAGGAATAAAGCCAAGTGGCCTGGTTGTAACCGAGCCATCGGAGGGGACCGTGGGGACCACAGGGTGCCCCTGCTTTGTGGAAGTCTCGGTTCCTGCACTGTTCTGAAGCGGCCCCGCCCCCCGCGGGTCCCCGAGTGGCTATGGGAACACCGCTGCCCTGGGGAACGCGGTTTCTCTCATGGCAGCGGGAGGCGGGGTGCAGGGAGGGGGGTGTAACTCCCCTCCTGCCTACTGACAATTTCCGCACGCTCCTCTCCAGCCCTAGAAACACAGGCCCACGGGGAGCATCGCAGCACGTCAGCAAATGGAACAGCGTTTGGAAGCCCCAGAAAACTGGAGGGTGGGGAGGCAGCTGCCCTCCGGGAACAGCTCTCAGGCCCCAGTGACGGCCGAGGGCGCAGAGATGCTCCCGACACTGGGCCAGGGTGGCCTCCTTGTCACACCCACGGTCGGGGAGGGGCGCACGCAGGCGACACTCACTCGCTTCTCCTGGCCAGGGGCCCCTTGGGCTTGGTCTCCAGCCCGAAGAAGCCCTTGACGTTCTCCGTCTTGGCCGACGTGTTCTTCAGAAGCCGCTCGGCGATGTCCTTCTTCTCTGCTAACCAGCTATTGGCCGACTTCAAGTAGGAGTCGATGCTCCCGGCCGGCTTCACCTTGAACTCGGAGGGGAGCAGGTGCGGTTTACCTGGAGGGAGGGGGAGACAGCAGGGATGAGAGCCAACTGGAACCACGGAGGCCGGGGCCACCTCTCTCCGCCATGGCCAGACACGGCGGCGGTGGGAAGCAAGAGGCTCAGGAGGCCCGTGGTCACACGGTGGGCCGGGGCCCCTGCCCTCTCGGGCGGTCGCTGAGCACCTAGCGTGGACAAGTCAGCCAGGTGCCACCAGGGGCTGCAGAGGAAACAGGCAGGGATCCAGCCCCAAAGAAGCACCAAGTCCAGAGGGCGGGGGAGCAGCGCACACAGGGAAAGTGTAACGTACAAAGTGATGGAGGAAGACACAAGAGTCTCTCCTTGTGGAGGGAGGGGCCGTGCGGATTCCAGACGGCCTGGCTGGCACGTGGGCTGGTCCTGAAACAGGGAGGCCACTGGACATGGGAGACGGTGAGAGAAGGGCAGCGAGGGGAAAAGAGGTATGTCCCTTCCTAAGGCTGTGCACGGACCGAGGCCCAGGCACCCCACGGGCCAAGGTGTCCCGCCCCATATCAAAGGGCTCCACGCTGAGGCCGTCAGAGCAGCTGCTGCAATGGCGCAGAGCAGCAAGGAGGGGGTGGGCTGCTGAGGCGAGGGGACGAGGAAGCTGAGCTGCAGAGGTAGGGGTGCGCCACAAGAGCCAGCCCACTGGTGCCTGCGCTGCTCTGACCCAGCTGCAGCCTGCGGGCAAGCCCTCAGCAACCCTCTCCTCACGGCGGCCCGAACGAATGCCAGTGGTCACAGCCCAAGGAGCTTAACACGGGGAGCCCCCAGCTGCCCCCAGCTGCGATGCACCAGGAGGCCCCAGGGCCACGAGCCCGAAGAGCTCAACCCGCACTCTGCTCCAGACCCCGGGCTGCTCCAGGTCACCCCAGTCCACAGCTGAACCTGTGTCACATTTGGCCAGAACATGAGACGATGTCCTGCGTCTACCCTGAAGCGTCCTGCCCGTGTGTCTACTTTTTCGTGTCCTCCCAGCCAGGACCGCCAGCCTCCTGACCCACGCTGTGGACCGTTCTTCGCCTCCCGCTCTAGGGGTCTCCCTCCTCCTTGTTCCCGCCCTAATATCAGCTCCCTTTGTTTTCCGGATGCCTCGCAGCTCTGCCTTAAGAAATCCCCACTTGATGTGGCGTTGGAAGGTGACAGGTCTGCCTGCCCCGTAAGCTGCACCCCGGGTCTCACCGATGTGATAGTAGGTGAAGCACATGGTCATGAGGTTCTTTGCAGGCCCGAAGTCGTCCATCTGGTGACACCTGAAATGGAAAGAGGGGTGACTGGCTAACGGATCCTTCCACCGGATTCTCTCTGCATGTTCCTGAGACAAGACTAGCATGTTCCACAGACACCTCTAAGCTAGTACCTCACTCCCCAGACACTCCAGAGGAGAAGCCACAGAAAGAACTCCCCTGGGTCCAGGCACCTGGCCTGGGAGCGGGTCTGATTTAGGGCACTAAGGCGCTCACCATCCATCCGCCTGGCTTCCTTCACTTTCAAGGTGGAATAGCCAGGGCCCTACCCCAAGGAGCAGACCCAGAACTGGAGGTCAGGCCTCAGGTCTCAGGCTTAAACCGTTGGCCCCGTCCAGCCCCTACTTCTCAGGAATGAGCAGTGACTTAGATGATACCCGCCCCCCCGATGTGGGCAGCAGCAGAGTCACCTGGCAGGGGGGAGGCGGGGAGGCCATGTGAAGATGTGGATTGCTGGGCCCACCCCGGAGTCTCTGGGTCAGCAGGTCTGGGGCAGGGCCTGAGAATGTGCATTTCTAACAAACTGCCTTGGGAAGCTGATGCTCTGAGGCTCCTGGCCCAGGGACAGCACCCTGAGAATGACTGGGAATATGAATACCTACGTACCCTACACCACTTGCTGAAAATCAAATTAAAGTATTACGCGCCAGAACCTTTGCTATGCTAAAAGATGTCCTACAAATATAAAGGATTATATTAATACTTACTATATTATATCAAACTTACTATATTGAGAGTATGAGATATACATGGATCCATTCAATTTAGCAGACAAAAAAGGGGGGGAAACACTTCAAGGAGTGGGTCTGTCTGCCACTAAGAATTTGTACTGTTACAGTGGCAAAAGCTACGGTGATGTGCACTGTGGCACTGCAAATTAGAGAAGAAAATGAGGAATCAGCTAAATGCCCATCGACAGGGCAGGAGCCAAATTAATTATGGAGCATTTGTACGTTCATGTATTAGAACACCTCACAACTGTTACAGATGCAGCACTGGGTGCAAATGCACAGTACTGCCTTTTTATTTGCGGTCCGCGGGTCTCCCACTGCTGTGGCCTCTTGCGTTGCGGAGCACAGGCTCTGGACGCGCAGGCTCAGCGGCCATGGCTCACGGGCCCAGCCGCTCCGCAGCATGCGGGATCTTCCCGGACCGGGGCACGAACCCATGTCCCCTGCATCGGCAGGCGTACTCTCAACCACTGCGCCACCAGGGAAGCCCAGTACTGCATTTTTAGAAAAAATATCTATTTGCTGGTATGCGCTTTATTAAGATGGCTATCACTGAGAGATGGACCAAAAGTGAGAGAAGAGGGTGTGAAAGAACATCTCCTTTCCCTCTTAGGCTTCCGTGCCTCTCCATCCTGTTCCCTCACGTACTTTCCTTTCCTGTTTAGTTTTTCACCTTGGACTAGTGTTACTTAAAGAAAGAAAATCAATAGAAATTATCTAGACAGTGGGATGAGGGCCATTTTTGTTTATCTTTTTAACATAAAAATAATAAATCTAAAAAACTGAACTTCTGTAAGTTCTTTTTTTTTTTTTTTTTTTTTTTTTGCAACCACATAAAAAAATATACGCTCACAGACAAAGTAATGAAAGATTCTGTGTTTTGGCAGGGTTGGAACTTGAGGTTAACTACACCCCCCCCCCCACCTACCAGTTTGCTTTTTTAAGGAAAAACTGGAAGAGAAATTGAGAATTAGATAAGCACTTTACCATGCAGACAGGCGCCATCTACACAAAATACAGGTTACTGAAAAATATGGATGCAAACGTCTCGAGGTCAAAGGGTCTTCGGGGCAGGAGACCACACTGACCCCCGACCCCCTGGGGCTCTTTTACCGAAGCTCCCGAGGCAAGCAAGCGTGGGCCCTTGGCTACCTCAGTGAGGGCCTCTCGTCCCTCCACCCACACTAGCTCCCAGACCCAGATCCCCGCCCCCACCCCTGGGGAGCACACCCTGAACTTGGGACATTCTGAGAGCAAGTGCAGGAAAAACAGGGGCTCCTCTCTTTTGGCCATTTTCCTCTAGTACATGCCCCGTGTTCATGGGGGACAGAGAAAGTTGGGGAGACACCGAGACAGGGAATTAAAGTCAAGAGAGCAGCTACGTTTCTGTTGGGAGAAGAAGGGGAAGGAACAGGAAAGGAGGGGTTTTCAGGCCTGGAAGGACACAGGGACACAGAGAAGTGGCCACGGCCTAAGCCAGGGGACCAGGACCTGCTCCGAGGCCACACTGAGGTGAGGGGGGAAAGCGGGCTCAATCGAAGGTCAGATCAGGGTCAGAGCTTCCCTCCCTGTCCCACGCATTTCCCCCACCCCCACGATCCCCCAGGTAGACACGGCCGCTCCGGTTCACACTGCAGAAGGCGCGTGCGGCTCTGATGCACGACAGGATGTAGGAAGAGGGTCAGGAGTCCTAGAGCCGTGCGTGGGCCTCAGCAGGAGGAGCCCCTCAAGGCAGGTGGCCGGCCCCCCCGGCCACACGGAGGTGGGGGGCCCTTCTCCCCAGCCCACGCTGTCCTCGGCGATAAAAGGCCCCAGTGGTGCCTCATTAGACCTCAGGGCAGCGATGCCATCCAACCATCTCATTAGTGGGCGGTGACCCGGTTTAGGGTACTTCACCACAGGAAATCCAGAGAACCCCAGACCTCAGCTGGAGGAGGGCAGGGCCGCTGTGTAATCACAGCCTGTCCCGGGGCCCGCTGCTGGCAGGTGGGGACCGCTCAACCCCCGCCACCCCCCCCCCCCCCCCCCCCCCCCCGCCCCCGTGAGATACTGGATACTGGTCACGACTTCCAGACAATGCTGCCGCCGCGGGGGAGGGGAGGTGGTGGGGGAGGGGGAGCAATTGAGCTGATGACTGCATGCGGCTGGTTCTCACGACTGGGGTCTCCCAGGTGGGGAGGGAGAGAGGGAGGGAGGGAAGGAGGACGAGAGGTCAGGACGGAGGTGCTAAGCCGCAGCATCACTTACTCAAATAGGACCACCGCGAAGGACTGCACCAGGCGGTAGAAGGTGGCCTCCGAGACGCACTTGGAATTGCAGCGCTGTCCGGGAAGAGGGCAGCCGCGTCAGGCGGCCGCTGGTGGAGGTGCACCCAGCTCAGAGGGGCTGCATGCTCACCCCGCCCAGCATCTCTAAACACAGCTGGGGCTCGAGCCCAGGACAGGCCCTGCTACCCAGAGACCGGGACCCAGCAGAGGGCTGCCCCACCCCCGACCATCACTCAGGTGTTTCCTGCGTCTCCTTGTAAGACGTTTAAAACTAGGAGCTTCGCACGCTCACCCACGTGTGGGAAACTACAGAGGGATGGGACCCCAAGATGACAATGCTGGCTGTTTTCTGGGTGGCTGATGTATGGGCAGTTTCTCTGTTTTTGCTTATCTGTATTTTCTAATTTTTCTTGGAAGAATAAATTATTTGTGACCAAAAGATACTTTAAAAACGAAGAACTTAATCCACTTTACAGGAAAAAAATATAAAGAACCTACTGGCTGTTTTTAAAACTTACTGTTTATTTGAGCTTACATACATGGCTGTCATTCTCTTGAATATTTTATCTTTACAAAAATGGAATATTGTAGGTTATTTAATAAAAACATGTGTGGACATAGCCCATGTGCTGGTCTTTAAAAAAGCGAACTTTTCTGGAATTTCATGAGGTTGACAGCCCAGCATTCCTTTCTAGTGGGGCATCTTCCACTATTCTAATTAGACTTTATAACATCTCTAGACAGAGCTTTACGCTTCTTCCTGTGGGATCGTTTTCCTCAACTCCCTTCTCCAGAGCAGGTGGGCTGCCCCACACCACAGCCCAGCGTCACCCCTCTTACCTGGGCGCTCACGTACCGGGCAAACCATTCCCGGCCTTTTCCATTCTCACTGCTGCAGGACTCTCCGAACTTGGCTTTCTCCTCCTGGTCCAAGTCCTCCCTGGAAAAGAGGGCAAAGGGAAAAGACAGGAAAGCTTTAATCCTCTACAACAAAAATGGCTACAGTAGGGAAAGAGGAAGGAGAGGAACTCCTAAGTGCAGTCGGCCCTCGGCATCCGCACCACGGAACCCCGACGGTAACTCGCCCCCGCCAAGTGCGGACCCTCATCTCAGCCTCCGGGCAACCCCGAGAGGAAACACTATTACTTCTGTTTCCAGGATGAGAAGCCCGGCTCGGAGGATCACACACAGCTGGGGAGTGGCAGGTGGGAGCCCCATCCAGACCTCCTGGCTCCAAAGCCCACGTGCATTCCCCCGACCTCCTGCCTCAGTGAGGTCTGGGTACTCACAAGGGTTCCATAACTCTCCGAGGGCTTGGCTCTCCAGCTCATCCAACTGCCCCCCATCTTTGCTGCTGAGGTCGGTATGGAGCCACCGACTGGATTCAAGAATTCCTAACGTGCTCAGTCGCAGCGGGACCCACTGGGGCCAAGAAACACAAGAGGTCTGAGGCCACCTCCAGCCGTCACAAGGAGGGCATGGCTGCTTATTCCTCTGCACTTCTGAAGAGCCGGTCTGCTCTCTGACTCTCCATGGCTCTGTGTGAGGGGTGAAGATCGGGGGACCCCAGGCCTGGGGGTCACCCCCGCCAGGGTGGACAAAATGCTCACCTGATCTCAAACCACTTCCAATCATCTTCGTGGGGGGGGGGGCCAGTACTCTACCCCAAATGTAACGACTAAAAGGGGGAAGCAGGAGGCTGAGGATCCACTGGCTTCTGCAATTTCATTCATTTAAGGTTTTATAGAAAACATCTTGGTCTCACTTATCCCAAGTGCCGACACCAGATGAAATGTGAGAATTTGCCGGGCATTTGCGGGGGGTTGTGGAATGCTCTTAAAGATGCATCTGACTCATTTGTCCACGTTCCATGTTGCCGACTGCCTGTCACAAATCTAGACTGGCCTTCCTGGCAAATTAGTGAGCTTCTGGGCTTTCTCCCCTTTGCATTAACTGGGTATACTCAGAGACTGCTGACTAATTTCGGTGTCAATCAAACAAAATGAGTAGGAAGCCACGTCTACTGCTCTCCCAGAATGCATTCAAAATCAAACATAAAAGCAGTCTGGGGACAGTCAAATATTAGGATCCTAGAACTCCTCCCCCTTCTAACTGCGGAGAAGACGGAGGCACACCTGGAAAAGGTGGAAATCAACCTTGCCAGTTAACAAACGAGGGGCCTAAACCTCAGCAAGGAAGTACATCCTCGGTGCGTGGCGTCAACAGGCAGAAATTCTTCTTACGCTTTAACGACATTGGAAAAGGGTCCCTTCAGCCAGAGCTCCTCAGGCCGCAATGCGTGCACGACGTGTAGAGGCCTCACTGAAATGCAGATTCTGACTCAGTGGGTCAGGTGGGGCTCACGACTCTGCATTTCTCAGCCCCCCCACCCCGCGATGCTGATGCTGCGGCTCCCAGAGCGATCTGAGGGGCAGGACCTCCAGCATTTCGCGCACCGCTGTGAACGATGCAAGACCAGCCGTCAAGGCCTGAGGCCTGAACCGAGTTTGCGGCGTGCTCCCCTTTCCGCTGCTGAGACGGCCACAGCCGTGAGTCAGATTCCCGGCTCCTCGGCCTCCGCTCTCACTCCAGGCCCCACCTGCGCTACAACTGTCACTGCTCGTTGTTTGCACTGTCAAGGACCGCCAACGCGAGGCCGGAGAGAGGTGCGAGGGTGGGTCCCCATCCTAGCAGCTGCTCAAGGCTCAGCTGCCCGAGAGCGTCCCAAGGGCTGCGGGTAACTGAAACCTCCTGGCCTTGTACTGCCCCTAAGCCACTGCCAGCTAACAACCACCTCTGAAGGCGTGCCCATGCGGGCTCACCTGAGGGGCCGTGGGAGCAAAGCCAGGGCTCTGAGCGGAGGGAAGGAGTGGCAGAAGCTCCCCAAGGGGGCCTACGTGCACTGGGGTGGGGCGGAGACGCGAGGGGCCCAGCAGCTTGTGAGGCCTGGAGCCCTGGCCGGTGGCGCCCTGCGAGGGGCTCACCCTCCGGAGAAGATCTTCTCCACGTAGCTGCGCATGAACTCCCGGAGCTCCAGCAGCTCCGCATCCTTGGCCGAGTCGGTGCTCTGGTTGGAGGAGAAGGACTCGCTGGAAGAGCAGCGGCGGTACTGGCCCCAGGACGGGTGCGAGGGCGACTCGCCCATGTCGTTCTCGCTGTCGGCCGACTCCGTGGCCTCACTCGCCGACGCACCCTCGCCCGGGGAGCTGTCCCCGTCCTGCAGCTTTGCGGGCAGCATCTCCAGGGGCGAGGAGGTGGATGGCTTGGCCCCGGCCCCGAAGTCAATCAGCGAGCCCACGGGGACCTCGGGAGCCTCCATGGCTCGGGGGGGGTGGGGGGCACTGCCGGCAAGGATGCCAGGCGGGGGCTGGTGAGCGAGATTCCCAGGTGCGTCAGCGGGAGCCTGAGGCTGAGCGCACGTGAGCTGCTTGGGAGTCGCTGGCCACCGGGACTGAGTCCTCTGGGGCGGCCCACGGGGCCCTAAGGCATCTGGAATGGAAGCAGAGACACGTCATCATCACCACGAGAGCTTCTCTTCATATAACGGGAAAGAATTAGGGCACGAATGCCCTGTAAGAGGCTCCAAACTTCCAGAATTTGGGCCACCTGTCTGCTGATGTCATCTTCCTACTGCCCACTTACTGTTAAACACCTGCTATATGGTGGGCAAACAATGAACAAACACACACCATCCATCAGGATTTCTCCAAACTAAGCAAGGAGACCTCGAGGGGGCTGCACCCCCCGGCCCTCTCCCGACTCTGGCCGACCAGACTGAGGCCAGTCAGAACAGAAATCACCGCAGATGGCCGTCTGCCGCCCACTCTTGCTGGGTCACCAACCACTGAAGACGGTGTCGTCAGGCACATGCTAAGCGCACGAGTCTCCAAGGCCCACGTCTCTTCCTTCCCGGGTTCCTTTCTTAGCATTTTCCCACTCAAAACCCAGCACCTTCCTGGCTGTCGGATATATGTCCCCTCTCATCATCCCCCTAAACCCTCCCGTGGTTTCTTTCTTTTCTTTTCTTTTTTAAGCACCTCACTAGACACAAGATCTGCTGGCACATTTTAAAAAATGATTTTCATTGTTTTTTGGCCGCACTGCACGGCATGCGGGATCTTGGTTCCCCAGCCAGGGACTGAACCCGCGCCCCCTGCAGTGGAAGCGCGGAGTCTTAACCACTGGATGGCCAGGGAAGTCCCTCCCTCTGATGGTCTCTAAGCAGCATTTGCCGAAGGACCCACCTCCTCCTACCTGCCCCCTCCCTGCACTACGGCCACCCTCGGCAACGGCATCCACCTCTGGTGTCTGTTCCTCCGCCCCTTAAGCTGGATGGTCCTCTCCCTTCTCCCCCATCTTCCTCCCTCAGCCCCATCCCTCGAGGCTCAGCTTAGTGCCATCTCTTCCGACAAGCTTCACTCAAACCCTGTGCAAACTATTTACTGATTCTTGCGTGGCCCCACTGGCATTTTACTTACACTCATTTCTAAGTCTGCTTGTTTGATAGGTTTATCCCACTGAAGTACAATCCCCTGAGGGGTGGACCATGCCTCAGCCACCTTTGTAGCAATGCGAGTGCCCAGCACAGAGTCCTAACTAAGTGTCCACTGGACGTTTGCTGAATGGATGACCAGGCCTGACCGTGAACACGCTCTAAGAGTCGGGAAGTCAACGGTGTAGGCAGAGCTGGGATTAGGATCTTCGCTTCTAAACCAGTCTCCTGCTGGTCAGTTCAGGGGTCACCTGCCAGTTCTGGGGCTCCCTCCCCCATGAAGATGGGCAGACAGCTAAGCAGTAAGTTAAAGCCCTCCTGATGTAAGAATCCAACTTGATCCTGGGCACTGTCCCTATCCTCCACCTCTACAGACCCCAAATATCTAGGACAACACCTGGCAGACAGGTGGCTGCCGCTACTGTGAAACTAATGCATCTTCTGAGGGTAATTCAATATCAAAGCTGCATTCACTGCCCGTTAAGAGCTTCATGTTCACGAATCGATTACGGGCTCCTCCAAATTCCCCAGCCCAGGATATTTTTAGATGCCCTGAGTCAGAAGGATGGAATGGCTGGCTCCGTGTCACTGGAGTGGCAACGCCCCCCCCTTCGGAGAGTCCTACAAAGCCCGCCTTGGTCCAAAACAGAGACGCATACACCTCAGCTCAAAAGAACTTTCTGGGCCAGGAGAGCAACAGGGAGTCTTAGGAGCTCAGGTGGCAACACAGACTAAGGAGTCTTGGGCCAGGGCCATGGCAGCCCTGGCCCCTTCTCGCCAGCAGGGCCGGTGAGCTGTGGCCTCTGCTCTCTGGGCCAGGGTCCCCGTCAGACACTGAGGTCAGGTTAGATCTCTAAGGTCCTTCTGGCAACCACACTCACAGACTCTCCAAAGAACAGAAAATAACACCTATAATGTCTCACCGGATATTAAAAATGGAAAATCGCACACTAGGAAAATGTTTGCAGCCACTATGATAGGAAAATTGAGTTAATCATATCTGTATGATAAATTCACCCAAATCCAACTAAAAATCTATATTCTAATAGATACACAAACTACTCAAATAGGCATGGCACACAAGAGGAAGTATTATTATTAAGTGCTTAGATAATGCTTCAACCCATACTAATAACCACACATACAGATAGGCAAATCAAAACAATTAGGTACCTGCTTATACTACAAAATAAGCAAAAATTTGAAAATTATAACCCAGAAGCAGGTGAGATTAAGATAAAACTAATATTCTCAAACAATCCTGGCAACAGGAATAAACAAGACTTTAGAAAGCAATTTCTATAATTCTTATTTTTCTCTCCTCTGATCCAAGAACTCAAATGCTTGGAATTTATTCTGAGAAGATAATTCCAAACAGTCCAAAACAGTTATGTGGAGAAAAATGCTCGCTACAACATTAGTTATCGTCCTGAAAAATCGGGGGAAAAAAATCTAAATATAGTGAAGTGGCAAATATATTCTAACAACTTGATGTAACGGTAATCAGTGTGTGGTGCAATTAGAAAAACGCTCACTTTACAGTTAGGAAAACAAATATAGAAAAACGCTCACTTTACAGTTAGGAAAACAAATATAGAAAAACGCTCACTTTACAGTTAGGAAAACAAATATTCCACAATCAACAAATACTTACTGAAGCCTATTGCAGGCCAGCCTCTTGTTTTGGGTGCTAGAAATACTGAAGTGAATGAATTTTAATTGTACTATAATTACAATCACGTATACACGTGAGAAAGGGCTGAAAAAGGAGATAGAAATGCATTACAGTGCTGGTACCAAGGTAACCGCCCCTTTTTATTTTATTATCATTAACAGTGGAGTTTACAATCAATAAAAATTCAGAGGAAAAGGAAACAAGTTACTGTATCTTCGCAACATTTCAGGTGGTTGGTCTGAAGGGCAGCATCAATTTACCAAAGCAGAACTTGACAGCACAGGAGGCGCAAGGTCAGACCCAACGGCTACGGCTATTTCTGGTCCGGCCCAAGGCGCTCTCCCAGCGCCTTTCTAGCTTGGAAATTCGGGGAGTGCATGAGTCATCCTTTCCCAGAAGCCTCCTCTGTGGGCTCAGGAAGGAGCGGACAAGGTGAGGGGCCTGGCCCTGCAGGACAGGAAGCAAAATTGACAGGGGGCCCAGTCCTGGGCGCCATGTGGGCAGCATGGGCTGCAGAGTGCGGGTTCCTCTGCCCGGGATCTCATCTCTCAGCCAACCTTGCTCCCGGAGCTGAGATGCAGGTGAAGTGGCCACTTATGCTAAGGGCCTTGGAAGTGACCCCACCCTCTTTCTCCAGGAAGGAAACATAATTACGGGCCTCTGTCCAGGACAAGGTGATGGTCACTCTCAAGACACCAGGATCACACACCTCACTCGACTACCTGTGCTCTCCTAGCTGCAGAACACAGAGGAAGTGGGCCCAGTGGGGACTGACTGCACCGTCCCCGAGTAGGGCCAGCCAGCGGCTGCCACTCAGGATCGTGAGCCCAGCGGGATCAGATCTAAAGAGCTTTCTATAAAAGTGCTGAAATCCGCTTCATGAAATCTTCCAAGTCTTCAACACTGGCAACTAATTTAAATTTATTTCAAAACACATCATGGACCAAAGAGAACGTGTCTGCGGATTGCACTCAATCCCTCTGCTCTGTCCTGTGTACAAGGAGGTCCCCAGACCCGCTGCAGGGCCACAGGCTCTGAGACTCAGGGTTTTAAATCACAGCGGAATCTCTGCAAACAGACAGCGTGGATATTAAAAATGCTTTCTACAGACTTGCAGCCAAACAGACCTTCCTGCAACCGCATCTTTACAATTCACCTCTTAGGCCCTATGGCAGAAGCTTCTACCAATCAAATTAGGCTAAAATTCTAAGTCAGCCCATGTCTCTGAGCGCTGAGAGGGGGCTTCTTCGGACTGGGGGTCAGGGAGGTAGATCTCTGAGCTGAGATGGAGGGGGGCCGGGCCAGCCGAGAAGGCTCGAGAAGGCTGGAGAAGGCTGTCTTCTGAGCAGAGGACAGGGGTCTGGGTGGAGGAACAGCCCACACAGAGGCCCTCGGCAGCCATGACTTCGGAAAGTTCAGGAACTGGAAAGGCTGAGGAGGGAGGAGGTTGGCAAGGGGGGCCAGGTGAGACACCAGGAGCCTCGACTGGGTTCTCAGGGTGATGGGCAGGCAGCCGTAGCAGCAGTTTGGAGAAGAGAACGAGCGCAAGGGGGCCAGGGGAGGTGTCCCGGCCGGCGCATCCGGGGGGAGGTTTCCTGACCTCCTGCCCCGCCTCCCGCCCACATCCCCGCACCACGTGGCCCCAGCTGCGGCAGGAACTCGGAAGGAGATTGCCGTCTGTGGCTGCTGCGCCACATCCTCAGGGGCTTTGCTCAAACCCTGATTTCCCCAGCACCCAGGGTGCCCAGAGTGAGCCCTCCTCCAGCAGGCTGACCTCGGGCAATCACACAGGCTCCCGGGGCCGGGGGAGGCTCCGGAACCTTCTGGAACTCTGCCTCTGCCATCCGTCTCAGGCAGCTCCCTCTCCTTTACTGTCCCAGAGCCAACAGACGTGCTGCTCCTCCCACCAAAAGAAGAGACGGCAAGCCTCAATGGACCAGCACAGCCCACCCGCTGGCTCAGGCCCCCTCCACCCCACCCGCCCCTCCTTTCACAGCATCAGAGAATCGAGGCGGGGGTGGGGAAGCAGGAGCCCCCCCCCCCCCCCCCCCCCCCAGCTAGGAAGTGACGGGGCCCAGAGTCAAAACTCAGGTGAACGCCGAGCCCAGGCTCTCAAGTCACCACGTGGGCCCTGCAGCAGCCTCTCTGATGCTCTCCTGTGGGTGCGTCTCTAGAAGCGGAGCTGAGGGTCAGAGGCCTGCACAGCAGTGAGGCTCTGCTGGGGCTGCCGAATCGCCTTCCCCAGTCTGAGCTGTGTGCTAGAACAGGGGTCCCCAGCCCCCGGGCCTTGGACCGGTATCGGGCCGCGGCCTGTTAGGAACCGGGCCGCACGGCAGGAGATGAGTGGCGGGCGGGTGGGCAAAGCTTCATCTGCGGCTCCCCGTCGCCCGTGTTACCGCCTGAACCATCGCCCCCGCCCCCGGCCCCCAGTCCGTGGAAAAATGGTCTTCCACGAAACCGGCCCCTGGTGCCAAAAAGGCTGGGGACCGCTGGCCTAGAAGGCAAGCCCGGGCCACGCCCAACAAACACCTTCCCTGCCGCTGGAGCCGAGAACCTGATGTACGGCTTCACACACATCCGTTAGATGGATTCTCCCCAGCACTCAAGTCAAGCTTGTGGAGATTATTATCTTTTCCCTTTATCGTAAATGTATCGTTAGAGAAAGATTTGGAAATAGAAGAGGGAGAAAAAGCTCCTGGTCCCACCAGGCCGACAAAATCCCATCTCCATTCTCGTGGATGCCCTTCTGGTCTTGGTCAAAAGGCAAACCCTTTTTTTTTTTTTTTTTTTTTTTTTTTTACCATTTCAACGGCAAGAGAAATTCGGATGTTTATTTGGCACCTAGCTAGTGGCTACCCCTCTCGTGACAGCTACAAACCTGCAGGAGACCCCAGTGGAGAGGGTCTTCTCTGCTCTCCCGAGGTGTGTTTTACTTCAAATGGACCTGACAGAAGGTCGACAGGCCGTCTGGGTTTGGCTGCAGGGATGAGGGGAGACAAGTGAACTTGATCGGATTAGTTACCGTTATCTGTTTCGGTTCAGCTATGAAAGGACTTAATAATGCACGGTTTCCAGGAAAACTGTGCCTCACTGGAATAGCTGGAGGAGAGGAGAGGGAGAGGAAATAAGGGAGACCTTTCAACCCGCTGCTGCTTCCTTCGCCCTGTAGAGACTGCTGAGGATACGATGGATGGACTGCAAACCTCAAGGTTCTGCAGAGCCCTCCTCCCCTCCCCATGCGCCCGCCTGTGCCCTGGCAGGGTCCCAGCAGCACGGGGTGCAGGTACCACTTCCACACCTCCCCGGCCTGCCACAAACAATCAGCCTCACAGCGCACAGGCTCTTCCTGCGGCTCCACCTGCATCTGTTCCCCGGGCACCCCTCCCGCTCATAGGTCACAGGTCACAGAGAGACCCTGTGGGCTGGCCAGGGAGGCGGGGCTGAGGAGGGGCCCCAGGTGGACCGCAGCCACAACTGAGGCTCGTGGAAACCCGCTTCCTGTCGCTCAGAACCTCTCCTGCAGCGAGACCCTAACAAGGACCTCCATTTGCCTCTGCCAGGGGCTGGTCACAGCGCAGCCCTACAGACGGATAAATCCGCTCAGCGCTTTCTGGCTGGGTGATAACTCACACTGCCTTGGAATCAGGAAGAAATGTGGCGCTACTTGGGGCTAGGAGATGAGTCATTCCGAAGAACGAATACGTGTCAAGTAAGAAGCGTCAGCATCCTTTCAGATGTCAGTGTGTTCGCGCAACTGTTCAGACGTAGATTTATGTCCAGTCAATGTGGATCTAGGGCAACCTCAGGCCAGTGGAATTGAAACCCATTATTGCAGTCGGGCAACGAATGTAGTGGAGCTTCCTGGCAGCCAAAGCAAAAATGGGAATTACACCGGGTCACAAATTCTTTTCATTCCGACAAACTCATCTGTACGTGAGCTTTATCCAAGTACCGAACTTAAAAATCAATTCGTCAAGAAGATCCTCATATGAAAGGACACTGACTATTACAGTGGAAGTCTCCAACAGGTTCTTTAAAAGATACAGAGATGCTGAAACATACATTTTTTAAATGGCTCTCCAAAAATCTGAAAGCACATGTTACATGCATTTGGAGCAGGTATTTGTCGGTTGGAGCACGCTACTGGGTGAAGGTAAGATCTCCTTGGTGGCGCAGGGATGGAGCGTCACAGACCTGGAGACGTCATAGTTAATAATATGCCCATGAGGGTCCCTCTCCCTCAAACATCAGATGTCCCCCAGGGCTCTGGCAAGCACCAGTCACCACCATTCACGGCAGAATTCTCTGAAGAGCACTTGCGCCAACATTCTGATTTGGTGATCGAAACAGAACTAGAGCTGGAGGGGTACAGGGAAGGGGCGCCCCCAAAGCCCTGCTTGAGGCACCAGCTCCAGGGGTTTAATCGGGATCAGAGCCCACACTGGTTAAGGAGACGGGAACTGAGCAGCTGGTGAGGAATCACAGCCCACAGCCTCTGCAGGGAGTCTCCGAGCCATGAGCCATGATCTCTCATCCTCAAGGAAGCAGAGAGGACGGATGGGGGAGGGAGAGGGACATACGTAACCTGGTTTCAAAAGGGAAGACAGTAGACGATGAGAGAGAGACAGAGAGAGAGAGAGAGAGACAGAGAGAGAGAGAGCCACGTCAGGGGACACCCAGGTCAGAAGCAGGACGGCTCTGCGCACCAGGACCGGGAAGCGGGGAGGACCAACGTCAGAGCCTGACGCTAAACTGATCTCTAGAGCCTCACTCGCACACGCACGCGCGTGCGTGCGTGTGCGTGCGTATGTGTGTGTGTGAGTCTTACAGACCCGTCAATCAAGGGAACACCGTGGAAACAGCACAAGGGCTTTAGCAAGATACTAGACAAACGCATTACAGCTCTGAGGACAAAACAGAAAAATGTGGCTTGAATGCTGTGTAATTAGGTGGCTTCATCCATACTGTATTTCGTTATCCTAAAATGCACTTTTCTGGCACTTTAAGACCTCTGAAATCAGATGTGTCTGAGCGTCGCTCCCAGCCAGGCCCGCTGGGATACAGCTGTCATTGTCCAGAGACAGGAGTAGAGCCTCTTCTACTCTTTAATTTTAAAAATCAATTCAAAACACATAAATTGTAGTCACGTCACTCAAAGTGAATCAATTCCCACACAGTGAACTCTCCCCTAAATCCACCACCCACCTCAGGGAATAGAACACGACAAGCCCCCACCTCGTCCCCCTCCCCCGAGCTCCCCTCCTCCCCAAAGGGAAATGGACCCGTAAAGGGCACGCGGATGGCAGAGAGGATGGTATGTTACAGAAACCCATGCACTTCAACGGCTCTGAGGCAACTGCAGAACAGGCCTCCGAATGTGAGGAAGCTTTAGAAGCCCTTTAACCAACTTATTTTGCTTATATTTTCCTCTTTATTATGGACAAGAGGGATGCTTCATAATAATCTATGCCCAAGTCATTCTATAAGCGTTCTTACAAGAAAGACAGAATAAGATTCTAGGGACAAGCGAGCATCATGCCATAGTGTAAATGGCAGCGCCGCATCTTAATTCCTTGTGCATAAAATAGTGGTGAATCTTACAACCGACGGGGTCTTCGATCTGAAGAAAGACGGTGGTTGAACCCCTCCCCCAGCGTCAACTTGGAAAGATGTGTCTACCGCTCATGGGCTAAGGACTCCAGCCCGGCTCTATCCTACCCCTTCATTAATTACTCAGACTTGAGGGCAGTAACATGTTGGTGGAGAACGTGGGGAGCCGAAAGCCGGAGGGAAAGTTAACTCAGAGAACGACACAGTCGGGACCCAAAAGGTTCCGGCAGATTCAGGGAGGCTGAGGCTAAAAGATGCCCCTGGACAGGGAATGTGGTCATTCGCTGGGCACCAGCCAAGTGCCTTCCACGTGCCAGGCCTGCTGTGGGAGCAAAGAGATGGTGACCGTGTGGCCTCTGTCTCTGAATAAGTCATAAATTATCAGCGAGGGAGTCTGACCTCGTGACTCAAAGTTTCACAAGTCCAATGTCGAGAGGCAGCTCATTCTCGGGCGGCACACGTGCCACAGGAGTCAATGGGTTTGAGGCCAACAATAACAACAAACTTGAAACTGACCTTGGGCTGCCCTGACAGAAGCACCTGACCCAAAAGAGGAGAGATGGTTTCACTCACCTCTGCTTCCGCCGGTCAGGCTGCTCCTGGACCATTCTGTCCAACCCCACCCCTTGGAAGGAGTAAGCAGCTCCTCTTAGGGCAGCAAATCTCAGTAAACATGTCTGGGGACCCAGGCCTTGTTGTCCCCAGCCGTTAAGCCCAAAGCGACTCAGCAGGATCCATCATTTTGGAAAACGTAATAAACTGGCACAAGTATTTTAATTTAATAAATGTTTGGAAGACTTGTAAAAAAGCAGAGAGCATCCCCCAACGTGAGAAGAAAAACAAAAGCCCACTTGATAACTGTGTCACATGAGCAATGGTGAGAAAGTCGAGGGGATTTACTGAGGGGTAAGTAACTCGGGAAACAAGACAGTGAATTCAGGGACTTCCCTGGCAGGCCAGTGGTTAAAACTCCACGCTTTCAACGTGGGGGTGTTGCGGGTTCGATCCCTGGTCGGGGAACTAAGATCCCACATGCTCCGTGGCCACCAAAAAAAAAAAAAAAAGCGGATTCAAATCTGTGAGGAGTGGCTATGTGACCAAGGGACTAGGTTGTCCTCCATACTTCCAGAAGGGAGAACAGAGTCCCAGCAAGGCAGCCGTCTCCACCAGCCCCGGGAGTGGTCCCTCAAGAGTCTCCTTTCTAAATGGGAAGCCGGAAGCAGAAGGTGTTAGCACGCTGCTAGCGGGAGATGCTGCTGGACCTCTAGGGTTTCATGCCAATTCCATCCGGAGATAACATTTTATGACACTTAACGCAGATTTTTCTCCGCTGCAGCTGTCGTAATGGTTATATCCAAGATAACTCTTATTTTATGACCTCCAGGAAAAAGGAAAGGTCTAAAATATTCACAGTTCACAGGAAAAAGAGATAAGGGGCCATCTGCTGGTTCCCTCACACCTGACCTCACTGGGTCCCTATTAAAACCACCACGACGGGTCAGGCACTGTGCTAAGTGTGGGGAAAAGGGCCGTGGAAGAGACAAGTTCCCTACAGTCTAGTGACTCTGCCTGCCTTGGTTCAGCAACAGTGCAGACGGCTCCAGAGCAAATCCTTTTTCACCACCCCACTGCCCAAATCAGAAGGGTCCAGGAATTCAACTAGCCCCAACTGGATGAGGGAGGAAGGAAAGGGTATACTATGATTACAAACCAACAGGTCCTCCCCAGTCTGAGACTTTGAAATTTCTTAGTTTTTCCAAAGTTGCTCGAAGTCTCAAGTCACCTCCCACCAGGGTCTGGATGTACCTTACGCACTTTACTAATGTTTAATTCATCCCAGGTAATTCTTCAATGAATTGGCGAGCCCGCTAGTTTAAGGCAACAAGGAGGAATTTGGCGACAGGTGTTTCCCATTAATTCTCACCACTAACTTACCGAGTTGGTTGCATTATAACCAAATGTTCGAATTTATTCGGCACATCCCTCCCTCTGTGAGCAGCTGCACTTCTTTAGTAAAAGAAGGACATAGCTGGCGATTCAGTGACAGCCGGATTTGATCTGGATACAGACGGCCTTGGCCTTCCATCCTTTTGGGTAACGTGGCAAAATAACTGCATACTTCCCCCACCCCCGGCACGAAGACAGCCGCACTCCATCGGATTACGATAGGCTCCCTAAAAGCTCTGAAACTTGGTCCTTCTCCTAGAACCCAAGGCGGGTGAGGGATGGAACTGAACATCTACTCTCTTTGGGGTTGGTGCTTTGCTCCACTGGCCCAACTCGGGGCCAAAACGGAGAGCCATGCAAACGGACATCTGTGCCTCCGTGGGAGGGAAGGCTCTGGGCAAATCCTCCTGGATGTGGGATCACCTGGAGGCCGCAGTAAGCACTCTGCTTGAAACCCGCTAGTGTCCGTCACCAGTTAGCTTCATCTCTGGCTGCTGGTCAAGGAGCTCTGCCATCTGGAGCTGGTCAAGGCTGCCCACGCAGCTCTCCAATGGCCACATGCAGAGGGGATGCTGCTGTCATTCAAAAGCAACCTCACATAAGCATGGGTTGCTGGTTTCTCCAAGACAGAACTTCTGCATAATCAAGCTAGTTTCCTCCTTCCCTCTCTCTGACACACACTGGGCCTTTGCTAATGCCTTCTTCATTTCCCAATACACACCACCCACCTCCCTCTGGCTAAATCTCTTGGCACATACAAAACCTGCTCTGCAACATGGAGAAATCTGAAAATTGTGGTTGTGTCACACCGGTGCTTTCTCTAGGTCATCTGTGGTCTTTTGAAATCCTCCCTAATGTTGAAACATGTTTAAAAATATTTTTTAAGTCTATCTATTTAATTTATCCTAAGGAACTAACCCCCCAAATGGCCCCAAATACCTCTATGCAGCTTGCTTTATAATAGCAAAAAAAGTGAAAATAAACTAAACGCTCAACAAGAAGAAAGTTATGTCAATTCTGCTACATTAATTCTGGCACTTCACTGAAATATGACAGAGAGCAATAATGACAACATGGCATTGTGAAAATACTTCTGTTAAATGAAAAAGACGTGGAAAATGAAAAACGAAGATGTAAATTTATATTCTCCCTGTAATTACAACTATGTAAAAATAATACAGGGCAACGCCACAGCTATCCTGTCTGCCTTACACTGTTATCATAAGGATCAAATGAACTAATAAAACAAACCAGAGGGGCTTCCCTGGTGGCGCAGTTGTTGAGAGTCCGCCTGCCGATGCAGGGGACACGGGTTCGTGCCCAGGTCCGGGAGGATCCCACGTGCCGCGGAGCGGCTGGGCCCGTGAGCCATGGCCGCTGAGCCTGCGCGTCCGGAGCCTGTGCTCAGACGCAACGGGAGAGGCCACAACGGTGAGAGGCCCGCGTACCGCAAAAAAAAAAACAAATCAGAAAAGAAGGCGGCAAATGGCTAAAGTACTGTACGAATTCTGAATGGGATTCATGTCAGGCACCGGAAGAACGTTCAGTACATGAGTCGACAGGGCAACGGGGACTTGAAAGATCACATCAGCATCAGAGACCCTGGAGAAAACGGCCACTTCCGAAGTGCTGCCTTACGATTTTCAGATGGTTTTTGCTTTCATCTGTGTCAACACGTGGAGACTGAAATTCAGTGACACTTAACGGTGTCTGCAGTCCTCTCATTCAGAAAATCTTTTAACAAAGCAAGAGTTATTCTTGCAATAAAGGCTTTGCTTTATTTGAGAGAGAGAGAGAGAGAGAGAGAGAGAGAGAGGATCTACTTTAAGAGGTTCTTTTTTTTTTTTTTATTTTTTAGATCCTTTCCAGGGAGCAGATTTATTTATTTATTAGGTTGCACCGGGTCTTAGTCGCGGCAGGCAGCCTCCTTTTTTTTTTTTTTTTTTGCGGTACGCGGGCCTCTCACCGTTGTGGCCTCTCCCGTTGCGTCTGAGCACAGGCTCCGGATGCGCAGGCTCAGCGGCCATGGCTCACAGGCCCAGCTGCTCCGCGGCATGTGGGGTCCTCCCGGACTGGGTCACGAATCCGCGTCCCCTGCATCGGCAGGCAGACTCTCAACCACTGCACCACCAGGGAAGCCCTAGGTAGGCTCCTTAGTTGCGGCATGCATGTGGGATCTAGTTCCCTGACCGGGGCTCGAACCCTGGGCCCCTGCATTGGTAGTGCGGAGTCTTATCCACTGAGCCACCAGGGAAGTCCCCTAAGAGATTAATTCTTTATCAAGCCCAGATGGGATTCTGCAGCACGAGGCTATTATACACATTGGTGACCACCTGGATACAAATACCCAAATACGCTAGATGAAAGCCTCTTGAATCTCAGACAGACCTTGCCCTGCTTCTCTATGTATACATTTCCTGACACCCCCAACGGAGAGGAATAAAGCTCATTTGCTTACAGTAAACCATTCCCTTCAACCTGGCAGCCTGAGTGGGTGAGAAGGAACCCCCTTCACACTGTGCAAGGCTAGATACGTAATGATGGGGTAAGGGAAGCTCAGGGAGAGGGTTCCTTCCATCAGTCCTTTACGTGATGCTGCAGATCAGTTATTTCTGTTACCATCTACCCAATCC